TTACCTTATTAAAAGAGACCAGTACGTTCTCTACAGTGACATGCAATAAGTCTGGGCTCACCACACAATGTGCCACTTTGAATAGGTGAGCCCAGACTTATTACATGTCACTGCAGCATTGTCCATCCTGCACTCTTTTCTTCTTCCTCTTCGCGTCGCTTCCTCATGCAGGGCCACATGGTTCGGTCCGTGGCACATGGATGTTTCTCCCTCCCCTGGAAAAACCTTGCCGGGCCCTGTACTACCATACCAGTTTTCGCCCATCATCTCAAGCAGAGATACGTTTCCCCGCGCTCTTCGCCGTAGGGCCCGATAAGGGGGCGGGGACTAAAGCAGGAGAACTGTGCTTTTGTTAGTCCTTGGCAGATCGTTACCATCGCCAACGGCGAGCAGATCTTGGCTAGTCTTTTCTTCGGACAACAGGTACATCTCTAGCCTGTCTATTTCTCGTTGGATATAGACATCGGTTTGTGCATATCACATCTAAACAAAAGCCCAACAAACATATCCTCTCAGGCTTTTGTATCATGCCCATGCGGCATCGACACACCGCATCGGGTCTCGGTCGCTGAGTGTCCCAGTTGGCGAGACACCAATCTCGTTCTCGCCCTAGAATCAATGACCTGCCGACAATGCCAAATTCAATTCCTGCAGTGGCTTTCTGCCGAGGTCACTGCGCAGGTGTAGCCTTACCCCAGTTTGATGCAGAATAATCTTTCCAGGAGCTCAATGTTATCTGCAGGATTCCGTGTGATTCCGGTTGGTTGAGCAGCAGTGAGGCGCCCTCTTAAGAAGCTCTACTTCTCTAATGGGCTGTTCCCTGGCGGCCAGTTCATGTTCTGACTTTGATCTTTGCGTTATTAGCCTTGACCTCACCTCCGTTTCGTTCGTCTTTCAGCCCAACCAAGTTCCTTGTACAAGGCGAGAGAACATCATTGAATATCTGTCACGGTTGTTAATCTTTGTAAATAGATTACCCTTTTGGCTCTCCCGAGCATCACATATACACCCCAGAAACCCTCGTCATGCTCTCGGCACTCCTTCCGGCAGGCCTTGTGGGCCTTCTGTCGTTGATTGATGCCGTTGGCGCCCAACAAGACGATCTCGGAAAGGTTCTCCAGTCCCAGTCAAATCTGTCCACTTATCTCAATCTAATCAAGGTAAGTTGGGGTGGTGTAGTTCTCGTCGTTGTAATTGTCAATATGCTTCGATGATTGGGGATGAGACGCTTTCGGAGAGAGGCAGCAAGCCCTTGCTGACTTTGATCAGAAATATCCCGAAGTTATCCTCGAGCTTCCTAGCTACGACGGAGTCACAGTGAGTTATCTTTGACTTCTTTGACTCAAACGGCACAGGCTCCATGCTGATATATACCCAGGTCGTTGCGCCATCCAATGCAGCTTTTGAGAACATTCCCGGCACTCAACTGAATGGCAAATGGAACGAATCAGATCCCTCGATTGTCATCCCTATACTGGAGTACCACATCCTCCAAGGCACAGTCTCAACCGGCGCCCTTGCGTCGGGCTCCTCAGTATTGCGCTCCTCGCTGTTACAGAACCCAGCCTGGACCAATGTCACCAGCGGGCAGAACGTCATGGTGAACAAGCAGCCTGGCGACGTGATTGTTTTCACCTCTTCCAAGGGCACCCGCACCACACAAGTCAATGCAGACATCAGGTTTGCCGGCGGCCTCGTTCACGTTGTCGACAACCTCTTGATACCTCCTGCCAGGCTTGAGAACTCGACCGAGTCTTTCGGACTCTCTGCCTTCCTTGGCGCGTTGTACACCGCCAAACTCCTGCCTTTTCTGTCGGATAAGAGGAACGTAACAATCTTCGCCCCTCGTAACGAAGCGTTCCAGCGCGTCGCCGGGCATCTTGAAGACTTGGACGAAAATGTAGTCAGGAACTTGCTCAACTACCACGTTGTCGAGGGCCGAATAGTCCCCTCCTCGGGCCTCAAGAATGGTACTAGCATGTATACCCTGAGTGGACATAGTCTCAACGTCATCCGCTCTGGTAACAACCTCTTCCTCAACTCGGCGCAGGTCGTTCAGCCGGATATCCTACTCGCCAATGGTATCATGCACATCATCGATAACGTCCTCAACCCGGACAAGGCATCGGCTATGCCGAATCCCACCGCCATCAGTCAGGCGCCCGTATACCCTGAGAGCTCCGTCTCCGGGCTGCCTTTCACTTCTGCAATCCCCTGCACTGTAAGTTGTCCCGTGACGAGTACGACCATTACCACCGCTGCGGCTTCAACAACGGCCTCAACAACGGCCATAAGGACCACCACTAGTCCTGGTGCCGCAGCGCGAACGGTAGTGGCTGCAGGTGCAGCTCTGCTCGCGGGGTTAGCCGCGTTGGCTTGAACGAAAGGAGCGCCTGGCTCTCGTGGATAGAATGAAGCTGTGGTGTTGTTGTAGTGCTCAGAACAGAAACTCCAATGGATCAAAATGTGAACCAGTGTCTGATCCATAAAGAACCCGAACACAGCCATAACCACCACGCAACCAATACACTATGCAATATGCGGGATGGCATTACCTTGTGGATCTTTCTTGCTACCTCGAAGCTGTTCAGTGAGGAACGCTACCAAAACACAGCTGACGACAGACGGCAAGTCTAGGGAGGTTTCTTTTGATGTGAGACAACACTTGCCCTAAGTTCTCAGTGAACTTCTCAGTAACCATAGAGGTTCTATTTATCAAGCGTTGGAATTATATTATGATGTGAAATTGGTTGACCATGGTGCTTCCTTCACGGCTACGGTCTTGTCACAAGAGTTATCGGTGGGGTGGTTCCATAACATTCAAGTCTCATGTCAGAAAGCAAGATAACTCGACTGTTGATCCAATCTATATACATATATGAAGATATCAAACTCCACTGGTCCACGATATAATGGCTAGAGCTCAATGTTTTTATTGCTTGCGCATCAGTGTCTCAGAATGGAAGCCTCTTCCCTCTTATTCAACCTATCTAAAGGGGCGAACGTCAAACATTAAGCGAATCTCGTCTTCTTTCGTCCCTGGACTTAAAGACAGACTTGACTTCTTTGATCTTGTGACTGGTGGGTGATACTCTCACTATGGGCGTAAGGCCGACCTGTGCCCAGGTTGCAATGCGAATGCTCTCAATGGAAGGCCCAGTTTAAATAGAAGCAACCTGGACACATATATAGTTCGAGAACCAGTAGAGTATCAAGCTTTTGCGGGGAGCCTCGGCTCTTGAACTAGATAGCAATGCCCCTGAGAAGGCATGGGGGTTGTTCATAGTGATGTTATCAAGATCATCATACGTTATCCTCAATGTGTAATCAAGAATCATTATAGCAAGACATGTATGTCAGCTTCGGCATTTACTCGACGAGCCCACATATGAAGCAGCTGTCACCCGGCATATGCAGAGAGTTGCAGTATCGCTACCAGCGACTTATGTTTGGTCTTCAACTTCAACGGTTTTTCGAAAGCCGTGCAAGCAGTGGGTATGGGGTTACTATGAGGCGTCACAGACTTTCTCAAGGAAATCTCGACATTGTTCTCTTTCGTCAGGACCGTCTCTATACTGATGAGTCACGGTATATCCCAGGAAAGAGACATGGTATGAAGACTTGCTCTGTGTCCAGAGATGTTCAGACGTTATGAGTACAACAGTCACAGGAGTAATATTCTTTGGCGTCCAAGATGATTCCATCTTCTCACCCAGGTTTAACCATCACCAACTTCTCGAGAGACGAGTTTACCGTAATTCGACGTGTCAAAAACGCCTAGACTGAACGTCTGGTGATGCTTGGACAACTGCTCATGGTATGGGGGTCTTCCACGATCACAAGAAGTCGATCGAATTACGGTGTCGATTCAACAACCTCACGCAAGCGTTCCATGGCGTCCCACATTGCCCAGATGCAAAAACCTACTAGATCTCACACCAACCAAGGCCTAGGCAGTCGATAAGAAAAAACCTGAACAATCGCCAAGGGCACACCCAAAGTCATCTACGCCGCAGACCTGCATCTCGCCTTGTCCCCAACCGCTCATGCCCAGCTGCCAAGAGGCGTCCGCAAACCAAACGTCAATCGACACCGGAAAAACAAGCCGGATTTCCAGACGCGGTGAGCATGTATGCCCAGCTCTCGGGGCACTCTGATGTGCCCTTCGAACCATCCTGTTAGGCTCTACCCTTGGTTGCCCACCTGTCAGAGTCGATGCATTACATTGAGTGCAGAGGGCCCTGCTTGCAGCACCCTAGGGTATTGACGCATGAATGAATCATTGAGAGACGGAGACGACCTTTGCCCCAATCATCCATCCACCTGGGAGGTGACTCGCAGGACACGTAATAGGCACACCGTTCCAAGATAAGAATTGTAGATATGGGCGATGGCATGTTGTTCGCAAACTCTCACTCTGTTTCCATCAACTGAAACATGCCATGAGGTGAGCGGGCAAGATACCCAGCGAACGAAGAACTGCGAGCGAAGTCAGCGCGATTGGACGAGACGCCTCCTCTATCCACTAGCTCCGTATCCAATGCGAGACTTGCGCGGCTTGACGTGGTGGGCAAAGGGGAAGAGGCGCCCGGGAGGGTTGGAGTTTGTATTGTTTCCGGTGTACTTCTAAATAACCGGCTAGGCGAGCTGCACGGCTTACTGGCTGGAGGGAATCGAAGCCTCCTGCCTAGATAAAACACGAGATAGAGTGGCAGCCCAAAGGTGGGGTCGTCAAGATTGTGCAACTGCTGACTGGTTCGTGTTATTGCCACCGCGTCCATAGCAAGGAATTCTACGGCCATGGACTCTTCTTTTTTTGTGAGACGTTCAAGCGTGCATGGCCAAAGCAACGGCGAGGCATATTTTAAGTTGCTTGAAAGGGGTGGTACAAGAGGTTGGGTGCGCAGTGGGACTATGTCTGCGTTGCAGCCGGAGCATTGAGAGATACCGACTCCGCAGGCTGGGTTCGGCTAGGGCCACTGTTGCTTCGCTTTAGATTTTGCAAGGACTATGGGCAGAGAAGAAGTCCATTACAACCTGGGCTTGTCAAACCCTGAGAGCTGAAGTCCAGCGGGCCGACGATGGTCCAAAGCGGGAAATACAGCGAAAGTACCCTTGGGGTGCCCGACATGGCCTCATCCGGGCCTGCCATGGTGTCGTGGAACAGCAACTCGATTGAACATTGCAGTGAGGGCTAACGCACGCGAAATGCAGTGTAATCGGCCCTCTTTCCCGGAAGACGCACGCAGATTGCACAAAGTTGGAAAGCATACCAGGATCCTCATCAGGACGTGCGTTGACAACCACGTCTGCATTGCAGGTGGCATCATGCGTGTTGATCGATAGCATGTGGTTGAATGGGTCAACTGTGGGCATGCATCATGCAGCAGCGGAACCGAGGCTGACTTGATTGCCAGATAAAGAATGACAAGAGCAGCGCTCCCAAGTTGCTGGAGGCATTGACCAGCTTCGGATAGAAACAAAGGAAAGCGCCCACCGCCTGGCCGGGAAGCCCCCGGGGCGTCGATCGTCCATGATGGGGTTTCCATTCGGACCTCCTAGCGTCGATTTGTCGAGGAAGCTGAAGTCTAGAACTTGTATGAACGAGGTGTTGCTTGACGGCAGGACCGGCAAAGGCGCTCCGGCCGCAGTTTCATTGCCGGTCTTCCAGGTGGCGAGCGTGAGCCGCGGACCATGTCCGAGCAGCTGGGACAGAACACGGCCAAGCAGGCAATGACCCTTCCATCTAGGTGATGCTGACAATGGCCCACTTGGCTCGGGTCGTGAGCAGTGTAGAGGTATTACTAGGGTACGCATCTCGATGGCGATTCGGGTGACGCCAATTATGTTTGTTGGTGTTCTCTCTGTCATGCCGATAGCTGCAGGAGCGTTGATGCTGCGATAAGAGACTCGAGCTCCAGGACATTGAGCTTGCCCGGAGGGTGTGCATCTGCTCTCGCTTTGGCTTGAGGAGGGACCAGCCCAGCTGAGCGTCGTTTTCTCAGTCTCGTATCGCTTTTTCTTGTTTGGATGCAGCCGGATCTGGCCTTGAGGCTTTCTTCGCGTTGAGCTTTGACGCCATCGTGACATGGTGGCCGTGGTGCTTGACACGCCGGTGGAAATTGCGGTAGGAGGCCATAAGACAGCCAAGACGGGTTATGGCAGAGCAGCGCAATACCGTCGGGCGCTATTGGGGTTTAGTCCCGAAGAGGCAGTATTCCTTATCTCGTCTTTTTCTCCTGTTGGACCAGCAAGCTTACCAGGGACAAGAGGGGTCGGAAAGACAGACCAACAGGGGCCTCGATGCAGGAACAAGGGCACCACTGGGCGAATGGCTGATGCATGCACGCCACGAGGGCTAGCCGACGCACCAGTACAAGCGTGGCCCGAGCCAATCTCTTGCTGCTTTTCCAATACTTTTCCTCAGCCTGTTTTCTTTGAATGTTGCGGCAACCAAAATCAGAGGGGAGCCGAAACCCGTCTAGGAAAGCAACGCGCGCACGGCGGGACGGATAAGGTAGCGGGACGGATGGACAGGGCCAGGGGGGTGAAGCATGGGAGGAGAGGCCAGCCAGTTGCTGAAGTGGCACCTGGACTGTCGTATCATCAAGGCTGAAGATGAAGCGCGCTGCAAGGTGCCAATAGTGAGGTTTCGTCGTGGTAGTAGTCATGGTGCCGCATTTATCTGTTGGGGGCCTTGGTCTTCGATTCGGGAGGCAGATGGAACGGGAAGCGCCGAGATGCAAAGAGTTGAGTGCCTTGGGGCACGTCGTTGGGCGGTAAGGTAATGCTCTAGGTCTCGAGAGCAGAGCGGGTATGACGGTGAAGGCGAGGGCGGGACGATGTCTCATGCGTGTTGATGAGCTGTTTTGAAGGTGGAAGATGAGTAGTTTGGGCCCGTCCGAACTAGAACGAGCCGGATCCGACACCTACCTACGTACCCATGTAGACAATGGGATGGATGGTGGGATGGGACGAAAAGAGAAGAAGGAGCGAGAGGTCTTCCTGGTGTACTGCGTACAGTGCGACTCTCTCCGTCTCCATTTCCATTTTTGCCAGGTACTTCTGCTGCACAGTGACATTGTGAAGCGCTAGCTGGTGCGCTAAAGTCCTGAGTTCAGCAGTCGACTACCGCTAGGGTTACTCAGAACCTGGCCTCTCATGCACTGGAAAGGGGTCGCCCAAATACCGTGCAAAATACAGACCGTGAGAACTGCACACTGCTTCGGCACCCCCGCTAAGGAAAAAGCTGAGCCGGCATGACGGGAACGAACTGGACCTACCGGTACCTACTATGTAGTAACGATCTAGGGACCCTTAAGCCACACCTTGGCTGTTTTGGTCCCACTTACACCCTCCCCCCCCCCCCCCCCCCCCCCTTCAGCCAGCTAGCTTAGATGTCCACGCCCAGTAGAGTCGAGCGAGTCTCGTCGAGTCTTTCATGGGAAACGCACCAATTCTGGCAAGGTACGATACGGATAGGTAGGTAGTTGGGAGGTGGCTGAACACTACCCTTCCTCGCACTTGACCCTTCCTGATCTTAGTTTGTCCAGGAGCGTCTTCGATCTGCCCGCGTTTACCTACCCGGCTTCGCCTCTCATTCGATGCCCGACTGCGATTCTTTCTTCTCTTCCTCGCTTTGCCCGTTGCCGTGAGCAGTACAAATCATTCCCCTGTCGCTCGTTTGACACTCACCTCAGTGGTTTGCTGTTCAACTCGAGCCCCTTTGGCATAGCGAAAACAGATCGCCTCGACATACCACATTCGCTTTCGACTTCTTCTCAGTCGTCCTCTGCCCACCTGCGAGCTTAAAGCAGGCCAGACTCTCCAACTTCTTCTCCCACTTCATCATCACCACGAGAGACTCTCACTGCTCTCTCTCGTCTAGTTCCAAGACACTCGATACCCTCCATATTCCAACAATGGATCAAGACCAGGGCTACTACTCCCGCTCTGCGGCCGCCGGCACTCCTCTCCGCCCAAGCACCCCCAACACAGAAAGCAGCCGCAACCCGTTTGGCGACGGTATCGAGTCGCAGGCTTCCCAAAGAGGCCCAGTGACCACGAACCCGTTCGGTACACCCGCCGTCTCGCGTCCTGCCTCGAGTTTCGGCTCAGCCAGCGCCCTTGGAGCCCGCTTCGACGAGCGCACCAACCGTTACTTCCACTCGAGACGGATCCGTAAGGAGGACATCGAGAAGCCTTGGTTGAACAAGGCCGATCCCAAGGAGAAATGGGTCACCATCATTCCACTCATCGGCATCTTCGTCGGCCTCGTCGTCTCGGGCTTCCTGGTATGGGACGGTGTCCGCAGTGTCGTCAAGCACAAGTATTGCCCCGTGCTCATGGAGGACTTCTCCTCGGGCACACTCGACCCCAACGTCTGGACTCATGAAGTGCAGGTCGGCGGCTTTGGGTATGTTTCTTCCCTTGCCTTCTTCCCCCGAACCGCGCGCTAATCCTGGCTCACAGCAATGGCGAATTCGAGATGACCACCGCAGACAATGAGAACGTTTTCATCAAGGATGGCAACCTCGTCATTCTTCCTACTCTCACTGACTCGGCTCTTATTGAGAAGGACAACGTGATTGACCTGCTCAAGGATGGAACTTGCACTTCAGACCAGCCCTCGGCTTGCATTGCCGCCACCAACACTACTGCCGGCAACTCCTCCATCGTCCCCCCCACCAAATCGGGCCGCATCAATACCAAGAAGGGCGCTACCATCAAGTATGGTCGCGTTGAGGTCGTTGCTAAGTTGCCTAAGGGAGACTGGCTCTGGCCCGCCATCTGGCTGTTGCCCGTCCAGGACACCTACGGTCCCTGGCCTCTTTCTGGCGAGATCGACATCCTCGAGTCCCGCGGCAACAACTGGACTTACGCACAGGGTGGTGATAACATCGCCTCGTCAGCTCTCCACTGGGGCCCCGACCCTGCCAACGACGGTTGGTGGAGAACCAACAACAAGCGTCAGGCCCTGCACACGACGTACGCTGATGGCTTCAACACGTTCGGTCTTGAGTGGTCCCAGAAGTACCTCTTCACCTACATCAACAGCCGTCTGCTCCAGGTTCTCTACACCAACTTTGACGAGCCCATGTGGCAGCGTGGCGACTTCCCTCAGGCCAACTCCAACGGCACCCGCCTCGAGGACGTCTGGAGCCAGACTGGCCGCCCCAACACGCCCTTCGACCAAAAGTTCTACCTCATTCTCAACGTTGCTGTTGGAGGTACCAACGGTTGGTTCCAGGACGGTCAGTCTGGCAAGCCATGGCTTGATTCCAGCCCCAACGCCAAGAAGGACTTCTGGAATGCTCGCGACCAGTGGCTTCCTACGTGGACCTCGCCTGAGCTCTCTGTCTCCAAGGTTTCCATGTGGCAGCAGTGTGACGGCGATGAAGAGTTGTAAAAGCAACGTTGACGCAAACATTTCTCGTTATTTTTCGCACAGTGACATATAGAGAGCAACATGCTATATTGGGATAGACGATGGGACGCGCGGAACAGTTTTACAACGGACGGCAATCATTTTGGAATACCAACTCGGGGGGGAGTCACCCTGGTGCTTTGAGCACATGTATCTGACAATAGTGTCCAGGGTTTTGATTGGGATACTGGGAGATGACATACTATTACCGTCTACCTTAATGAACTGGAAAACTCCTACGCACTCCACTGCTTGTCTTGTGAACAACACCCTTGGTTTTTGTGCCCGCCAATCTATAAATCTCACGCAAGTGTCAACTAGAATGCAGCAAGCCGACGGTATCGAGGTGAGGCCCTGTAGCCCTGCATCCCTGCAATCTCAATCGCAATACTAGTGCGATTGTAGGACAAACGGCCGATGCGGTCATCAACACCCTGACCGATAAGGGCGGGCAGACAAGCTCAACTGTCAGACAGCTTATCAACATGCCGTTGGTATCAACTCGGTTTCTTTCTCTGTCCCCACCGACGCTGCACTTGGCTTAACGCAGCAACCTGTCACCGCGCTCGTCAGACGAGCCTGGAATCAATAAAGTCACGCAACCCTGCGGCGGGCGGAGACGACGGCGCCCGGGAGATGATGCACTGTAATGCGCTCACTCGTTGCATCACACTTGCAGGCAGGCAGGCAACGACGGCCAAGAAACAAGGGGCCGGTTGGGCGTAGCTGATCGCATCACATCCTGAGCCATTGATCATCACCGAACCCTACGGCAGTTTTGATGTGCTGGCCTGGCGATGCAATGCCACCTAGATGCATCTTTCCCGGACGGGCGGCTTGCCACCTTGTCTTGTTGGTACCCGAAGCCTTGTCTCCCTCTCTCTCTCTCTCTGTATCTCTCCGTGTGTGTCTTTTCCGCCCTTTGTTCGCGGCAGAAGCTATAGCCCTTTGTCGCGTGTGTTTCTGACTCAGCGCCCAAGAATAAGTCAATAAACAAGAGATATATTGCCGGTGATCGAAGGCTTCGTCGGAAGGCGCAGATGTTTGGCGTTACAGACACATAGTGTCTCGTGGGCCCGCCGGCTAACGGAATTGCCTCTTTTCGTGGTCTCAAGGAGCACAGGGCGTGCCGCGAGAAGGGTTAAGCCACCGTAGCACTAACGAAACTAGGTTGCCACGCCTCGCGTAGAGTTTGGGCAGATTGCATGCTCCATGGAGGGATAAGCGATATACGGCATTTGTCTCAGCCGCGATGTTGGGTCGCGGGAGGGTTCCGGTCAGCATTTCGTCATGAGACGCAGGTGGTTCAGCAGCATCCCTTCTGCATCGCGTGTAGTAGTTGTAGTAGCAGTAGCAGCACAAGGGCGAGTGAAGCATGCGACGGGGAACAGAGACCCGAAGAAACCCTCCTCGAGACTGTCTTGTGAAGTGGGGCGGGGGGGGGTAATTCTGGGGTTTTTGGGGTTTCTGCGTGCCGTCCGCGTATCACAGAACAAAATCTTGAAGAGATCACACTTTGCAGGCCCCAAGTACAAGCCGGCTTCAGGTCAGAGTTGAATGCTGACCGTACTGGGCCGAACCCACGTCCATGGCTGGCTGGTGTCCGTACTGTCTTCATTGACAGGGCTCGATCCTCGGCGCAAGCGGGAACACGACGGGATGAACAAAGACATCGACATCTCTGTGTAAGTGGGGTTTCCCTCCTTCCAACTGCTTCCCGGGCTCGTCATGGGGTGTTTGTTTTAGTGTAGATCATGGGTTCAGCGTAGGGATTTCTTTGTTTCAGTCCTTTGTGAAGGGCGGCAGGGTTGTATTCTGGGACTCGAACGAACAGGGATTGGGAGCGACGACGGCAAAGCCCAGAAAGCGTCATGGAATCGTCGGACGCCTAGGATTGGGCAATCTTTTGCGGATCACTGACGGGTTCCCCCCCCTTCTTTGTTTTCTTCTGCCTTTACATTTCCTTGCGGCAGGTTTTTCCACCCCAGGATGACGCCTCGTCATGTAAGCGTGGCGAGTGGAAACCTTTCGGCCAGTTGCTCCATAGCAGATATCCGTACATACAGGATAGTACGGATACAGAGTAGTACTCAATAACAGGTCAGCGCCGAGCTGGGACTGGGCCAGTGCACCACCCTTGGAGGGGCTGAAATGTGGTTTAGTTTGTCGATGAAGCCTGAAGGGGAACCCCCATCCCCCCCCACTCATATTTCCCAATGCCTGTAAAATTGCAGGTCCGTAAACTTGCCAGTCTGTGTGTTTGTATGTCTGTCCTGGCTGTCTGCGAGCCCGTTTGGTCTCGGCCTCGTGGACGGATCTTGGTGTGTGCTGCACCCGGCCTGCAGACATGTTTTCTTCTGGACCGCTGACGACGCTATGATGTTCATCCTTGGGCGACGTCCTGCATGTGGGCCGTCAGTAATATGCTACAGAATTCACATCACATTGTCTTCGGCTGGCCAATGTCTCCCTGCCCAGTGTTAGGTCCGACTTCCGCCAGCGAGATTCTTAGACTGGTAAAAAAGGCGAACGACACGCTTCGTTTAGTGTGGCTGCCGTGGCCTGTCTTAGAAACATGCCCACGGGCCCTGCCCACATCCTCGTCTCAGCCCGCCACAAGAGATTGAATCCCTGTTCTGTTCTGCGTGCTTGCGTTCGTCTCCAGAGGATCTGACCCGGTGTCCACTCGCGGAAGCGGTATCCGCATGTGCCAACGTCGCATCCCAAGTGCCGGTCACGACTCGGCAGCGAGCTGACCAGACTGCTCCATCCGTGCGGTCCAGAACCTCATCAAAAGAGATTCCCATGAGCAACAGAGTCTGTGTGTTCGTTAGTAGGGCCGGAAGACATTGCCATTCTGGGAATGGGCAAAGTGTCAGCTCAAGATTGGCAACAGCAATCCACAGGGATGCGTGGTTTTGTGGCGATGGTTCAAGCGACGGTATGTTGGATATCTTACGACGACCCAGAACGGTGGTTAAGAAGAAATGAAAAGATGCGCCACGAGCGAGCCGCTCGAGGCTCTCCCGCGTTGCGAAACAAGCCCCTCGTTGTCTGGGGCTCGTGGCCTAGGGCGGGCCTTGCGTGTAATCGAACTACCGTGTCCCCTGTGGTAAACTACGAATGCTTCTTTCCCTATCGCGGCCCTTCTCCCGGGAAGGACTGTGCGAAGGCAATATCAGCCCAGCAGCTATACGAGAGGAGAGCTGATTGGGAGAGCCCGCGTGGTTTTCCTGTCTCCGGAGGTTAGGAGCGCGCGATTTTTTTTATTTTATTTTTTGAAGCCCTTCATCATCGCCTAGGTGGAAATTGGAAGCCTAACCACGATATCTGACATGCCGATGTTACGCAGGCCACTGATCGGACCCAAGCGGCCCAGGGGAAGAAGGAAGCCAGCCGCCGGCGCTGACGCCACGAATCCTGGCAGAGGTCAGAAAAGCTTGTCTTTTGGCCACTGGGGGATGATCCTCATGATTCGAAAGCAGATTTCGGCGGCTAGGCGAGAAATCAGGACGGGCTCGAGCATGCTGACGGCGACCCAGCCAACGGTGACGAGCAGTAACACCGGAGGTGGCAGCTTGAGGCAGCGGTCTGTCATAAGCTTAATTGTGCGGCTGTACAGGCGAGATCCACTTTAATAATAGAGAGAGGAGATAGCAATATCCTCGCTTACGATAAAAAGCGCGCCGGAGGGGGAAGGCCGGCCGGTTTCACTGGATGCGCTGGATGCGCTGGATGGATGCTTACACGTCGTCCAATCGATGGATCGGAGCCTCACGGCCGCCGTTGCGTTGTCGGCTCGTCCCATCCCACCCAACCAACCATCGTGGTTGGCTAAATATTGACTTCCGTGCCGTTCCTCTCGGAGATCCCAACGGTGAATGAGCTGAGTGGTCGATTCGGCGTGAGAGGGTAGGTATGAGAGAGTGATAGAGAGAGAGTGTGTGTGTGAGCCCTGGATTGGTGGGCGGGCACGGCAGCAGCCTGGCCCGTCTAACAACCTTGTCGTTGCTGCGATCCACCGTCAAATACGAAGGATTGGCATGTTAGTGGTGGGCAACACCCCAAGAACAAGCACGACCACCCCCTGGTTAGTGGTGTGCCTATGCATGATTCTTGCTGAGATGAAAATTTCCCAGCCATTAGAGTTTATCATCCCAATCTGCTTGCTTCGTGATAACGGGTTTCGGCAGGTCGTTTGCTCAGCCCTTCTGCCCGACACCGGGGTCGGATGGCCCCCATTCCTTAATACACCTGTTGTAGCAGCCGAGCACTGGTAATCACAACTTGCTACAGCGGATTCGGGACTGAAATCCACCCCGCCGTATCCCGCTGGGTGGGCGGCTGCTGCTTGCCGCGTGCACTGCCCCCCTCACGCCGCTCGCAAACCGTGGCGGTACGACGACAACGACGACGACCCCCGCCATGGCTTCAGTGGCTTTCGCTTCTTGCCGTTCTGCAGCCTCTTCTTCTCTTTAGAAAGGGACGCAATGGGCAAAGAGCGATGAAAGACCGGACCGCCAAAGGGACTTTCCGCCGTCCGTCCTGTGCACCCGACTCCATCATCGCGCCGTCGTCTCATCTTCCCTTAGCTCTTCTGGCCGTCCTATCAGTTGTGTACTGCGGGGCGCTGGGCAGGTTTAGGCGTACTAGAATCCCAGCTTGATCTGGTTTATCGTGTACTTCGTTTAGCGTCTTTTCACGGGCTGTACGTACCTGGTTTCAATATCGAGGGGTTTTTTCTTTTATTATTAATTTATTTCCTGTCCTTTCTGTGCTATCCTAAAAATGGCTTTTTTGCCTTGTGGCGTATGCAGGATGCATAATCGTAAGGTATAGACGAACCCCTGCTCGCGCCACCTACCGAGGCTCTTGTCGCCGCTTTAGCAGCATCAAGAAAGATTCAGTATCTCGCTCTGTCTCGCTGCGGGAAGCCCCGCGAGGAACCAGGTTGGTTGCCTGGATCCGCAGAGCGCGGGAACAATGGTGCATCACCGTTCATCGTCTGGGCCTTCCCGATGTCACGATTGCGCAATTGCAACGTTGGTGGTGCCAGACGTTATTTGTAGTTTTGCTGTATGCTAGTTGCCAGTCTTCCTTGTTGGCAACTCAGAGTCATTGCCATATTCAGCGATCTCGTATCCGTCTTCCGTTGCAGCATTTCCCCAAGCAGTCATCATGTACGATGGGCGCAATCCACGGCGACCAAGAGCAACCACCCCATGTGCCGTCATCACTCACCACAGTGCGCCTCACCCAAAATGCGCCTGTCTTCATGCGGGGAGGGCTCTTTCGCGTGATGCAGCCGCACTTTCGGGTCCAGCCCACTCGATATTGAAGCTATTGATTGAATGTTCAGTACCCTGTGTGGGGCGCTTTCTCAGCCAGCCCAGAATCCATGTCAACAGGCGGCGCCGGTATGGCTGAACAAGCCATCGTGCAACATTTTGGCAATTGGCTGAGTTGCACGAACCGATAGAATGTTGGACTAGTGGCGCAAGGAGATGAAAGCGGGCGACCCCATCCGCACTGCTGGGTGCTCCCCTCATCTCAGTTCGAGGCAACGGGCAGTCTAGACATCTACTTGGCTGACGGCTGATATCGATGCCGTCTGCTATTGGAATTTGAGGCTGATCGAAGGCCGCCATGAGGAAAAGCCACGTGTTTGACACACACCTGCGACCCTAGGCACCTGATAGAAGCAATCTTGCACCCAAGGGTGAGTAACAGCCGAGATGACTCCATTAGTAATATGCCCATCAAGATACGAAATGACCGGGGTTTCTTATGACGAGAGCGTGATGGCGAGCAGATCCAAGGACGCTGATTGAGAGCTGGCGGCCAATGACACTCAGCAAGCAGGTATCACAAGTGCCGGTAAACAAGCTCACTGGGGCTCACGCTGATGGTAAGTCCGACGTGATTTGAATCTACACGGCAATGAATATTGGAGGACGATGTTGCGAGTCCATAAGGAAGCACGTGTTTTAGCTGATGTGGCATCACAGCTCTCGTGTCATCGAGTATTGCCCCTTCACCTCTCAGTCATGGAAGTAATGAGGTCAGTTCGGGTTCTCCGATTCTTTGTCTGGTCGAGGATTCAGAGGGCCTGCATGGGCATCGTAGATATGCTTGCCTTGCCAGAATCTTCAGTTGTACTGTGGCAGCGGGTCAACGGCAGGATGAACACGGGTAAATGGCATGTAAGGATACCGGCATCGGCTCGGTGTATGGCGCCGGAAGAGGAGTGGTGGTTGTGGTGGTGGTGGTGAGAAGTGTCATGGCTTAACAATCATCAGGCAATGTCAACCTCAGGTCGTGGGCGTCACAGAGCAGGAATCGCGGCGCCAACGCGTTTCGCATAGGCGGCGGGAAACAATCAAAGACTCGAATTTTCTTTGCTCGGCGAGGCATTGTTAGGGAGCGATACGATGGACCAAGGCGGCTTGGGGAGTTCATGGGTAAAAATGGCAGAGCGCCACCAGGGCAACGGCGCGGTGGCCATTGTAGGCCGTCACCGCCCGGCGGCCCGTTCGTCATTAAAGTCAAAGCCCGATGGAAGTTGTGGCCCGAAGCGATGGGTAGACGCCCAAAGTGAGGGAGGGTGGTGTGTTGGAGAGAAGGCAGGCAGGCACCAAGCAGTATCGAGACCGAGGATGGACGAGCAGAAAGAGCTCGAAAATCAAGCGCGGTCAGTTAGTTAACCAACCAACCAACCAACCAATGAAAATGGCAGTCGGGGGCCCGAACGGGCGACTGCCTCCCGGGGCCGCCTAGCGCATCCGGAGAACCCACTCTTTCCCATCAGACAGCTGGGACACAGACCAAACTGAGGCACTGGCTCAGGTACAGGCGGAACACTAAAGTCAGTCGGGCGGAGCCACGAAGGCCGTCTCTTTCTACCCTCGTCCCAGTTCCAGTCCGGCGCTCCTTGCTCGACCCCTGGCCCCGGCCCCGGCCCCACCCCTGTCCACACCCTCTCTTCTCGATGGTCCTTTCCCTTGTTGTGCTCGTTTGTCCACAACATGTCCCATCTGCACCTTCCCATTTAGCACACACATAGTGTAGTAGTTCCTTGTTCCTGGGGCAGCCACGATGTACGAATCTTCGTACTTCGCAGTTCCGAGTCTCTTGCCTCTTCCTGGCAGACACCGGACGCCTCAAGCACTCGCCCACGCCCACGCCCACGCCCACGCCCACGCCCCATTGTCTCCTCGTTGTTCATCCCCTTCAGCCATTTCGTTGACCAAGCCTCCCCGTCCGTCCGCTTACATCGGAAACGATTCTCGCATCTCCCAATCCCCATGCCGTAACGCCGGCCCCTCTCGGGAACGGCGTGGTCAAAGACAATCAGTCCATACCCGTGTCTGCATCCCACCCCCCTTGGTCTGCTCCATGGCCCTCTAGCCCCGGCCTCCATCCGTATCTTGGCCTGAGCTCGCTCTCGAAAGTCTAGCCAAGCAACCCACTCGCTCCCTCACCCGCCGCCGGCCTTTTGCCTCCAAGACTGGTTCACTGCACTGTCCTTTGGCCCTTTGGCACCCCTACTTTGTGCTGCTGGCGAGGCTCATCGACGCTTTGCCCAATTGGTCTGGCCCTGTTTTTCGTCGTTCATCATCCCCGTGTCTTTCTCCCCTCAATATCATCTCCATCCCTCCCTCGCCTTCCTACATGCTCCCACTTGTCTTTCCTTCGCTCATCCCTCGAGATAGTCCGCCTAACTAACCCCCCAAGGCGACTTTAGCAGAGAGACAAAGGTTTGTACTTTGAGTCTTGTCGCTTGTCTTTTGGCCTGCATTCCTCGATAAGACTTGAACTCGACCTCGAGCCCGACAAATCTCCGCCTTCGTCAATGGTAGCTTGAACATCTCTATACACTCGCTACGCTGCCTCTCCGGCTCCACTCGGAAACCTATACACTCGCTATCGCTTCAACTCCCCTGACCCTCAAGCAACCTGGTCTCATTCATCCTTGGATTCGGCCTCCTGTTGGTTGCTCTTCTTGTTCGAACACCGCAGATTCCACCGTGCTGCTTTTGTGTGACTCTTAGAGGTACTACTCCGTTATGCCGTGTCAACTCCACTCGGAGTGAGTATATCGCAGAACCAATACTAACATCGCTTTGGACCAGCCCGAATCGTTCTACACTTGGTCGACGACTCTCTGGATACTTGCAGAGCAGGTAGTCATTCTATCTCGCCCGCGAGCTCCTCAGTTTCAAAAAAATCACCACAGCTCCCATTCCTGACAAGATGGGCATCGGTGACTATTTCAAGGCCGAAAAGGCCCAAACATCTGGCAATGGCAGTTCGCCGCCTCAGCCTAGCCGCGCAGCCACGGGCCAAATGCTGGAAAAGGGGCCCGCCAAGGTGACGAACGACATGGAGCTTCAACCGCCTATCCCTCGCTACAATTCTCGGCCTCAATCCATTTCTGGCCGATCTACGCATTCCAATGGCAGCTCCATGTTCCTCGACGACATCAAGCATGAGGTCATGGTCAACTACCTCTACCAGCAGCAGTGCTCTCACCTCTGGGTCAGCGACGGATCCGGCGAGATCGAAGGTGTGCTTCTGCGTAAGGCTAGAGGCCAATACATGGCATGCCCACCGCAGCTCGGTAACTCGCCCTTCGCTCAGGCTTGCGCTGCGCTCAACGTTCAGTGCTCCATGACCGTCAACTCCCGCGTCATCAAGACATTCCTCCAATGGTCTCCCGACGCCGTCGACGTCCCTCTGATGAACGGTCTCAGAGTTCAGATCCTCCCCACTGTTGAGGATCTTCCCAGAGCGAGAAAGCATCAGTTCGCCGCTTTCATTGCCGCCGAAGGTCTCCTGGTTGTCTGGGATGACGATGCTCTGCACCTGGTACAGAGAGCCAAGGCTATTGAATCGGAGCTCATGGAGCTTGTTTGGAAGGCTGGTGCTGAGGAAGAAGAGGGTGACGAGAAGAAGGGCCCCAACGCTGTCGAATACGAGATCGACGAGGAGAGTGGTGAGATCAAGCCTGAGAACAGACCTGTACATCTTCTCAACACCTACTTGGTGTCCTTGACGCTCGTCATCGTCGTTGTCTCTCTCGGCGCCGCCTGGAGACAACTCGCCATTGAGGTTTCCGTCGATGGAGACTACCTGCGCCTGGCCCTTGTTGCTCTGTTTCCGATCCAGATCTTCTTCACCCTCTTCTTCGCCCAGGTTATCGTCGGTTGTTTGGCTCAGATCTTCGGACCCATCCGCCAGTTGACGATCAACTCCAAGTTCTACTCGGCTCGGCCTCCCATGAGGCTGCAGAGCTCGATCCTGCCCCACGTTACTGTCCAGTGCCCAGTGTACAAGGAGGGTCTCGCTGGTGTCATCGTACCCACGGTCAAGTCCATCAAGCAGGCCATGTCCACTTACGAACTCCAAGGTGGCTCCGCCAACATGTTCATGAACGACGACGGTCTCCAGTTGATCTCCGAAGAGGAGCGCCGCGCACGTATCGAGTTCTACGCCGACAACAGCATTGGCTGGGTTGCGCGTCCCAAGCACGGCGAGAATGGCTTCACCCGCAAGGGCAAGTTTAAGAAGGCGTCCAACATGAACTTTGGCCTGATGATCTCTTGCAAGGTCGAAGAGAAGCTCCAGGCCATCAACCGCCCCGCTGAATGGACCCAACACGATGAAGCCCAGGCCTATGAGCATGCACTGAAAGACGTTCTCGAGCAAGATGGCCGTGCCTGGGCCGACGGTAACATTCGTGTCGGTGACTACATCCTCATCATTGATTCCGATACTCAGGTCCCTGCCGACTGCTTCTTGGACGCCGTATCCGAGATGGAGCAATCTCCCGACGTCGGTATCATGCAATTCTCTTCTGGCGTCATGCAGGTCGTCCACACGTACTTCGAGAACGGCATTACCTTCTTCACCAACCTGATCTACAGCGCCATTCGGTACACCGTCTCCAACGGTGATGTTGCCCCTTTCGTCGGTCACAACGCCATCCTCCGCTGGAGTGCCATCCAGCAGGTCGGTTATTTCGATGAGGATGGCTACGAGAAGTTTTGGTCCGAGTCGCACGTGTCCGAGGACTTTGATATGTCGCTTCGTCTGCAGTGCCAAGGCTACATTATCCGCTTAGCTGCCTGGGCCGGCGAGGGTTTCAAGGAGGGTGTGTCTCTCACCGTGTATGACGAGCTTGCGCGCTGGGAGAAGTATGCGTACGGCTGCAACGAGCTTCTCTTCCATCCCATCCGCACCTGGCTTTGGAGAGGTCCCTTCACCCCTCTGTTCCGCAAGTTCCTGTTCAGCAACATTCGTTTCACCTCCAAGATCACCGTCGTCTCGTACATTGGCACCTACTATGCCATCGGCGCTGCCTGGATCATGACCTCCGTCAACTACTTCCTCATGGGCTGGTTCAACGGATATCTCGACAAGTACTACGTCGACTCGTGGCAGGTCTGGTTCTCCATCATTATCGTCTTCAACGGCCTTGGTAACGTCGCTCTGGCCGTCATGCGTTACCGTCTCGGTGAGAAGAGCTTGTTGGGGGCCTTTTGGGAGAACATCAAGTGGACGTTCCTCCTCGCCATCTTCCTCGGTGGCCTCAGTCTGCACGTCAGCCAGGCTCTTCTGGCTCACATGTTTGAGATTGACATGACTTGGGGCTCAACCTCGAAGGAAGCTGAATTTTCCAACTTCTTCATCGAGGTGCCTAAGGTTCTGAAGAAGGTCAGTTCTCTTATATCACTTTCTCCCTTGATGGTGTCGGCTATGTGCCCCACGTGCCAGTGGTGCTTAGTGATGTCCATCCACCCTTTCCAGCGTCAAATTGAATGTACCCTGTCCGAGTCGCGCTAACGCTGTCCCAATAGTTCAAATTCTCCATGCTGTTCTCATGCGTCTTTATCGCCGCCATGATCATCTTGGCCGTTGCGCCCTTCGTCCCCTACGACTGGCGCATCACCGACTTCGTTGCCATCCTGCCCATGGCCACTGTCTCGGCCAGTCACTTGCTCCTGCCCATCGCACTCAACCCTGCGCTCATGACCTTCTCGTGGTAATCAGCCTACCGCAGATGGTTTGGTTGTGTGTTCTTTTTTCCTCTTTTCAGGGGCCCTGCAGTGCGCATCAACACGTTGTATAGTTGGCTTTTATTTTTATTTTTGCATCAGTATAGATAGACTTGGGACGGAGTTGCAACCGGTTTTGATACCTAGATCCTAGCTAGCTTGGGCACATCACAACGTTGGATGGAATGGGGCCCTCGATTATATCTTTATTCTGTTCTTATCCTCTCTTTTAAGATATCAAGCAAGATACATTTGCACCCTTAGCTGAAGACTAATTTTACCTCATGACTACGAAGCTGGTGGCCGGGAACGGGACCAGATTGAGCAGGGTAACATTCACATGGCTTGGACCACGGAACAAAGGGGTACGAAGTAGATGACGCTTTTTCACGATGGGCAAACGCTCGAACATTGGCATATAATCCCAATATCACAAAATTTTAGATGAGATTGATATTCAGTCAACGGAACCCCTTCTTCATTTGCTTACTGTACGTCGAATGTTGCCAGTGCGGACCTGTGGTAAGCGCCAAAGCAGGCAGGACGCGGACAAGTGGAGCTGGTTGGGTCAAGCCAGTGAGTGAGTCGGGTTCCCGAGTCCAGAGAGAAAGTCAAGTAGGAAGCAGCAATTCCCTCCGATACACAAAATGTCACGAGACCAGGCACACCGGCACAAAAACCAATGAAAGGACGCGAGGGAGGCAAGAAAAGCTCTGAGTGATCGGATCAAAGCCGCTCCATCGTTCAGAATAGCTGTCTAGGGGGGGCGTCTCTGTCTCGTCATGCCCGTGGTGACAATCTCGGATTCGGAAATAACAACACAACAGGAAACCATGAAGAAGAAATGTACCGCCCGATTCCCATCCCGTCTATATGCAGAACGCCGTTCTAATCCCGTTCCAAACACGAGGTAAGCCCCTCTCTTCTCTACGGGCCTCCCCTTTGGCCGTGTCTGGTGGTGGCAAACCCGAATGCGCTTTAGCGGGTGCCGCCTCGGTATCTATCTCTCTATTCCCAAGATATATGTGAAAAGCAAAATCCCAACTTTTTATTCAGAGGTCGACCGAGGCCGATCAGCCACTTCTTTCCACACACAAAAAAAAGACAAAACCTAATGAAGAAGCGGTCGTATTATCGTCAATCATGACTTCGTTTACTCCTCGTCATCCGTGTCAGGAGGATGGGGGGTTCCCTTGGGGCTGTTGAGCCACTCAATGTGTCGGAGGCGACGGCGGACCTCCTGCTCCTTGAGCTCCTTCTTGGTCTTCTTCTTCTTCTTGCGGGCACGGAACTTCATCTCCGAGTTGTCCTCGGCGCCCGAGTTGACGGCGCTGTTGGCAACGCTGTTGGCGACGCTGGACACCGCCGTGGAGGCGATGGCGCTGCCCGGTGCGCTGCTGTCCTCAAACGAGCCGAGGTTGATGGCGGCGTTCCCGCGGAGGGCAACGCGGCCGTCATTGACGTGCCACTGCTCGGAGCACAGAGCGCCGACGAATTCCTCGTTATGGGAAATGAGGATGACACCGCCCTTGAACTCGCGGATGGCGACGGCAAGACCGCCGAGGGAGTCACGGTCCAAGAAGTTAGTAGGCTCGTCGAGCACCAGCAAATGAGGGTTGTTCCACATGGCACCGGCGATGACGACCTTGACCTTCTGGCCACCAGACAGCGAGCCGATCTCGTTGTGGTTGGCGATTTCGGGGTCCAAGCCGAGGTCCTCAAAGTGTTTAGAAATGACGGTGGGCTGGAGCTCACGGTAACCGAGACCCTCACGAGAAGCCTCGTGGTCGTCGAACTCTTGGATGAGCTTAGAGAAACCCCACTCGATCATCGTCTCACGGGAGACCTGGGTGTTGTACTTGGGGAGGTAGCCACGCCATTTGCTTCATTGTGTTAGTCCATCTTCATTATCAGCTTGAAGGGCCGTTGCTTACACTTCGTATTGGAAGGTCTTCTTGTACTTCTGACGACCAACAACGGCCTCGATCTGGCGGGGAGACTTTCCATCCTTGAGGTCAATGAGCTTGTCCATCTGCTCACGATCCTTCTCGGAAAGCATGCGGGTCTGTTTCATGTGGACCTCGCGATCGTCACCGTTGGCGTAACGCCACTGGAGGTACTGGTTGGGCGTCTTCTCGAGATGCATTTCAACGTGCTCGAGAGCGTGCTGCTTGATGTAACCAATACGCAGGTTGGGGTGCTTCTCTACCTTTCCGGTGGTAGGAATAACCTCGCCAGTGAGAATCTTGATGAGAGTAGACTTGCCGGCACCGTTGGGGCCGATAATGGCCACTCTGGATGACAGAGTAAGCTGGCAGGTGACATCGCTCAAAGAAGGCTTTGGGGCCTTGGGGTACTGGTAGGAGACGTTGGTCATGCGGATGATGGCACGGGTCAGAGACTTGACACCGGTCAAGATACCCGGGGGCGGGAACTTGAACTGGACCTGGGAAGCAGAAAGCGTGTAGTAGCTCTTGGCCTCGGGGCGGAGCTTGACAAAATTGGCCAGGTTGCCCTTGTAGCACGCGAGCTTCTTGTTGGGCTCGTAGTGGTAGATGTCGGTAGTGACGTTGTCGAGGAAACCGGAGTCGTGGGAAACGATCAAGCTGGTAATCTCGGGGTGGGTCTTGAGGTAGGTCTCGAGCCAGGCAATGTTGGCAACATCCAAGTGGTTAGTAGGTTCGTCAAGCAGCAGGACGTCGGCGCCCTTGAGCATGGCACGGGCCAAAGCCAACTTCATCTTCCATCCACCAGACAGAGAGCCGACCTTGTGGGACTGGCGTCCGTCAGGGCCGTCGGTAAAACCGAACTCGGCGAGAACCTCGATGACCTTCTCACGACCACGGGCAGCGATCTCAGAGTCCTTTAGGACAAAATCCAGAATGCTAATGTCGGCATCCTCGCCCTGGTTGTGCTCGACGTAGATGGTGCGGAGGACGTCCTGAGGGGGGAAACCCTCCAGCTTGCCGTTGGCAATGCTGCGCATCAGCGTGGACTTGCCGGCACCGTTGCGACCGCAAAGACCGTAACGGTGGCCCTTGAGCAGTCTAAGGTTGGCGTGGGACAGCAGCAGCATGCCACCGTAGGCCAAGGAGAAGTGCGCATTGACGATCTCGGTCTCGCCATCGTCCTCCTTCTCGGGAACACCGTATTTGCGCGCATCCTCCTCAACGTAGTGCTCCTGAACACCCTCGGCGACGGCAGTGTTGGCACCGGGGTTCTTTAGTAGTGCCTGCAGATAAGGTGCGATTCTGCCAGAGATGCGCTGCACGAAACGGTGGTTGACATCCTCAGCAACCTGCTCGGTGATGTAAGGACGGGCCAGCTTGAAGGCATCGGCGTCAGCCAGGCCGCCGTTCTTCTTGATCTCGGCATCGAGGATCTTGCCAACGTCGTCGCCGGAAACACGCTCGATAACATCCTTGTCGTCGCCCATGGCCTTCTCGATGACGTCGAGGGCTCTCTTGGCCAGCTCTCGGACCTCAGGAAGGGAGGCGCGGTCGTAGACACCCTTGACACCGGGCTGCAGCTTGGGCAGGAATGTTCTGGCCTCGATGGGGTCATGGACCAGCTTTGTCAAGTTCTCTACGACAACAACGGTTTGACGGAGCACCTCCTGGGCGGTGGTGGGGGTGTTGAGGGAACGCTCCAACAGGGGAGTCAGGAGAGCAAGGACAGGAGAGGTGACGACAGCGACAAAGGTCGTCATGGACAGGGCGTGGATAGCCTTGCGCAGGGTCTCGGTGGAGGGGTGGTGCATGGTTTCGACTAGGAGGGGAATGCGAGGAGCGACATCGTCGTTGGACATGAGGCCAGTGAGGGCGGTCATGGTCAAGACAGCCTGCTTCTCGACCTCAGACTTGAGGTCGTGCATGCCGCCTTCGACGAGGGGGATGAGACCGGCCAGCTTGGTACCCATGGACTCGCGGAGGACGTCCTGCTCTTCGGCCTGCTCCTGGGTGGAGCCGACCGTCTGCTTGGCTTTATCGGCAATCTTCTGGAGAAGGAGGAGGGCGGCAGCGGTGCCTTGCCACTTTCCGGTCTTTTTGGCGAGATAGGTGTGCAGGACGGGGAGGAGGCCGACGACAAGAGCCTCGGGGCTCAGGTTGTTGAAGAGAGCGTCCAGCGCGTATTGGGCGGACTCGCGAACGACGGAGCCCTTGTCAGCGAGCGCATCGAGGGCGCAGGGAACCATGCCGCCATCCTGGAGCAGGAAGGCGACCTCGCTCAGAGGCGACTTGGGGGGCAGACGTTCAAAGAGCGCGCCGAGCAGGTTCTGGGCAGACTCGCGCAACTGGGCGGACTTCTTGTTGGCAGCGGCCTTCTTGACCTCGGCGAGGATTCCATACTGGTGCAGACCAGCGTGTCCGACCGTGTTATTCAGAACTTCGCAAAGACCGTATGCGGCATCGACCGAGGCGGCGGAGGTGGTGGCTGTGAAGATCGAGTTCAGGAAGGCGGAAACGTCCTCCTGGGATGGCGGGGGAGGGGCATCGCCCTTGGCCACGACGGTCATCGTCGCTTGCTGTTCTTGCTGCGATAAGGGCGGGGTTACAGGGTGAGGCATAGATGCGGCGGCCAACACTCTGTATAATGAGAGAGGGAGAGAGAGAGAAAAGGAGAGAAGAAGGAAAAAAGGGGGGACGAGGGAAAGAGGACCTCGCTTCTGCTATTTCGAAGGAGGAAGAGGGTAGAAAAGCGCTCGTCTGTCCTCTCTCTTGGACTCCGAGTTGTGCGGGAGTGTGTGTGTGTGAGAAAGAGAGAAGAGCGTCAGCACCAAAGTTTCCCCGTAGCAACACAATTTTTTTTTTTCTTTTCCCACCTTGGGTAGATTGGGTATGTCCGGGCGCGATTTTCCCCCCTCCCCCTCTCTCTTTGTCCCTGTTATCCACCAGCAGAATCGCATCCTTGGCCCATGTGAAATTTTTTTGCTGCGGTACGCACTAAGGGACTTATCCCAGGGTTGCATGTCCCCTATCGTGAGCGTCTCATTGGTTAGAGCACCCGGCCCTCTCCATACTCGCCTCATGTATCTGTAGTGGTACGTACCCCGGGGCTCCGTACCCCGTCTTTTTCGCTCCGCTGGGAAGGGCTCTTGATGCCCGAATTACCAATCCAACGACGCTGTCTGTCCCTTTGCTCGCAGGTAACTCGGCAACAGCAAGATCTACACGCATAGGCAACAGCAGTTTCCGGCATTCTGGATAGGCAGGCTGTTTCCGGACCAGAGAATTATTCCGGTCGCGGGTGTCCTATAGGAGAAGCGCGGCCCACCATGCGATAGTGTCCCTCCGTCTCGGCGTAGACCGGAAATCTATGGTAGGTTGATCGCTCAGTCTCCTGGCCGTCGTTTCGTCTCGAACATTAGTAGATCAAATCCGTCCTTCTGGCAAGTAATTAGCTACCGGATCTCGAATACTTGTTGGCTGGATCAACCGAGTGGAGAACCGTCAGCTTGAACTCTCTCGACCATCAAGTAGCATGTGTTCCTCCTGCTTCTGCGTTCCTTTTCGCCAAGTATTCGGCATCCTCTGGTCTCAACATTCACTGTGACTGGCGGGCTTTCTATTCCTTTCATTGTCGCATGCCCCCTTTCCTCTAGCGATAAAAACAGCCATGGCTTAACGACCTAGCAATACGCAGGGCTACTGACAATTGGGTCAAGGTATGAATACCCGTCGGCTTAGAAGTATTTTGCCAGGCCTCTCGAAATCTCGACAAGGAACCTGCTACATGTGGCAAGGGTACTTAAACTGAAGGTTGTTGACAATCCTTGAGGGTCGATACAGCGACTGAGCCGTGCAAGCCCATCTTGTGGATTTGATGAAATATCCAACGAAACTCGTCGTCGCCATACAGCCATGTACTTGTTGCACATGGTTGGGGGTCGAGAGGTGCAATGCAGCATCGTGATGTCCGTCACGCGAGGCGGTCCAAGTAGTGCATGATACTGGCATGAAAGTAAAGTTTGCAGAGAAGGACAATCGGACGGATAGGGAAACCCTCGTGGGCGCTCGCTCTTTTGGGGCTCAAATATTTTCTGGAATGTCGTGACCCGTCAGGGTCAATCCGTGAACCTGCTACTGACTCCGTGTTGGTTTGGTATGGGCGTTGCGGGTGTACCATTTCCAGCATGTGCCATCCATCATGACTATATATATGTGACGGCGTGTCTTTTCCCCACGGTATGAGAAAGACGAGCGAGAATGGGGTTGGCGAATTCCTCCCCCCCCTTCAAAAATGTTCTCTTCTATTTAAAAATTTTCGTTCCGTCTCGTCGAATGTCTGTTGACGATGTGTAATTCTGGCAATACTCGTGGAGAACATCACATCTACCCCGTAGGTACTCGCACTCCCTTGCTCAGCGTGCATGGCCTGCAGCAGCACGGGACACGAGCAACCGAGAGGCGGGAGATCTTCGGGAGCGCTGGAGGGACGCGCGTGGGTTGGCTGGGACTGGAATGGCGATGCGAGCGAAACTTGGGAATTCGGCATGCTTTCAATCCATCCAATTGTGCCAGGCTACTACTAGCCAGGCTCTGGCTGTTTTAGGGGACAGTAGGCCCGTGCTCCCGACGTCCCGCACCAATCAGCGGGGTAGGCCGCTAAACTCTTAGAAGGACATCACTCGCACGTGCCTGGAGCAGAGAGCTTCGATGTTGAAACAGCAGTGGGGGGAGCATCGCCCCACGTTGAGACGGTCCCCCGTGGGCGTCATCGCTAAATGGGACAAGCCGCAGGCCGAGCTGCAAGTCGAAACCTACCTAGTGTACTGGGAGAACAGACCCAGCACCCCGTCCTACACCCCATCATCCTCTAGGTTGTTTTGACACACTTTCTTCCACCACAATTTGACTAGTCATCCATCATTTAATACTAACTTGCCCAACAAGACTCGCTGTGTATACCAGCATCACACCCCAATTGCCATTCCACGCCGGCGATAACCGGATCGGTCCACCCAAGTACGCGGTCTAGACGCTCATTGAGCGATGGTTCGCTTGGCGACATCGAACTGTGCTGTCAGAATTGGCCGCTAGACCTTCCTGGTGTGCTTGGTTGACACGGAAATCACTGTTTTTCTCGCACTCCAAGCGTGTGGCTTCCACCCCCCGTTAGCGCGAAGCTTCCATATCTACACTCAATAAACCTCCCACGAAACCTCATATTTGCCCATCATGGACCCCAGCAATCAGAGTCTCCTCGATAAGTCCCGTGGCTCCTACGACAGAGACTCTGAAGACGGCTCCGACATTGATGTCACCGACTACCTACCACGAAATGACCAGAAAGAGGAATCGTCGTTCCCGAAACCCGCTTTCCTTTCCACCAGGCTTCCCGGCTGTCTCGCGACATTCAAGAGGGCCTGTCATGGACGCTCACGATTATGCCTACTCGTCACCGCCCTCGCTGTCATCATGTGGATCATCATCAGCGCCGGAGGTGCCGTCATGTACAGCAAGTTCAAGAGCGCTCCGCCCACTGGCCAGTCGCCGCCCTGGTACCCGACTCCGAAGGGTGGTATATCCAAGAACTGGGCCAAGAGCTACAAAATTGCCGGCGAGATGGTTTCCAAGATGACGCTCCCGGAGAAGGTCAATATCACCACTGGAACCGGCTGGATGATGGGTCTCGCAGTCGGTACGACTGGTCCCGCCGTTCACGTTGGTTTCCCCCAGCTCCAATTGCAGGACGGGCCGCTCGGCATCCGGTTTGCTGACAATGCAACTGCCTTCCCTGCTGGCGTCACTGTTGGCGCTACCTGGAACCGTGAGTTGATGTACGAGCGAGGCAAAGCACACGGACAAGAGGCGCGGGGCAAGGGAATCAATGTGCTCCTGGGGCCTTGCATCGGCCCTCTTGGCCGCTTGCCGGCTGGTGGTCGCAACTGGGAAGGATTTGCCGCCGACCCGTACTTACAAGGCATCGCTGCTGCCGAGACGATCAAAGGCATCCAGGAGCAGGGCGTTATGGCGACCATCAAGCACTTTGTGGCAAACGAACAAGAGCACTTCCGTCAGAGTTGGGAATGGGGTCTACCCAACGCCATTTCGAGCAACGTTGGGGACCGGGCTATGCATGAGCTTTACGCGTGGCCATTTCTCGATGCCGTGAAAGCAGGCGTCGCGAGCGTCATGTGTAGTTATAACATGGTCAATAACTCGTACGCGTGCGGCAATTCCAAGCTTCTCAACGGCATTCTGAAGGACGAAATGGGTTTTCAAGGATTCGTCATGAGTGACTGGCTCGCGCAGCGTTCGGGTGTTGATAGCGCTTTGGCCGGACTGGACATGACCATGCCCGGCGATGGACTGTTTTGGTCGGACGGTAAGTCTCTCTGGGGCCCCGAGCTCACCAAGGCCGTCTTGAACGGATCCGTCCCCGTCGACAGACTGGATGACATGGTTGTACGCATCGTTGCCTCGTGGTATCAGCTGGGACAGGACGACAAGAAACTGTTCCCGAACGAGCTCCCCAACTTTTCCTCGTGGACCGACGACAAGATGGGAACGCTGGCTCCTGGCAGCAAAACTCCTCAGGAGGAGTTTGAGGTCAACAAGTACGTCAACGTGCAGAGTGATCACTCGGACGTGGCGCGCCGTGTCGCTGCTGAGGGCACAGTCTTGCTCAAGAATGAGAACGTTCTGCCTATCAGTAGAGACGGCTTCATTGATGCCAAGCGCAAGCGCCACGAAGGGAAGCTGAAGATTGGAATCTATGGCGAGGACGCCGGCCCCGGCAACGGACCCAATTACTGCAAGGACCGCGGTTGCAACCAGGGCACGCTCGGCTCCGGATGGGGCAGCGGCGCAGTTGAGTTTCCCTACCTCGTAGCTCCAGTGGAGGCCCTGAAGAAGGCCTTCAAGTCTGAAAAGGTTGAGCTGTCCGAGTTTCTCACCAACTCGCCCCCGTTCAAGAAGGACCCATCCATCTTGCATGACCAGGATGTCTGCATCGTTTTCGCCAACGCGGACTCGGGTGAGGGCTTCTTGTCTTGGGGCGGCATCAGCGGAGACCGAAACGACCTCAAGCTACAAAAGGGCGGAGACGACCTCATTCTCCAGGTCGCCGATAACTGCGGCAAGGGCGATGGCAACCCGGTTGGTGGTGATACTATCGTAGTCATTCACTCGGTTGGACCCGTCGAGATGGAGCGATGGATCGAGCACCCTGGCGTCAAGGCGGTGCTCTATGCGAATCTGCCCGGACAAGAGAGTGGGAACGCTCTCGCGGATGTCATCCTCGGCGATGTGAACCCCAGCGGCAAGCTGCCGTACACGATTCCCAAATCGTTGAAGGACTTTGGACCGGCCGGGCAGATTCTGTATCTGCCCAACGGTGTTGTGCCTCAGCAAGACTTCTCCGAGGGGTTGTACATCGACTACCGCCACTTTGACAAGCAGGAGATTGAGCCTCGCTTCGAGTTTGGGTTTGGCTTGTCATACACAACTTTTGACTTCTCCAACGTTGTTGTCGAGGGTGTCAAGCCCAAGAGCCCACTCCCAGCGGCCCGCCCGCCGCCGGCTGCCGAACCGCCGAAATTCAGCGACAAGATACCCGACAAGAAGGAGGCGTTGTTCCCCGAGGGCTTCCGGAAGCTTGAGAAATATGTCTACCCGTACCTGGACACCGTGGACGACATCTCGACGGAGCCGTACCCCTACCCAGAGGGCTACGACGTGGAACAACCCCTCTCGGAAGCCGGTGGCGAGGAGGGCGGAAACCCGGATCTGTGGGAGACATACGTCACCGTCAAAGCGGATGTAACCAACACCGGTGCCGTCGCCGGCAAGGTCGTGCCCCAGTTGTACCTCACCTACCCGAAGGATGTCCCCGGTGTGGACTTTCCCGTCAAGGTGCTCCGTGGATTCGACAAGTTCAACCTGGAAAAGGGCGAGAAGAAGACTGTGACGTTCAACCTGACGCGCCGCGACCTCAGCTACTGGGATGTCCACCGCCAGAATTGGGTCATGGTCACGTCTGGGGAGTACTCGTTTCTCGTCGGCGAGAGTTCGAGGCAGCTTTCCAGAGTTGGCAGCTGGTAGTCTGCTTTTCTGGGTTCGATAGTTGGGAAGGTTATCGGCGCTCAGTAATGGGAAAATATAGGTAGTGAAGGTCACAGGATTCATTTGTTGAACGCCGCTCACGTAAAGGGTCGCGAGTGCGGCGAGCGTGGTCACGCATTCTCGTGGGTGTAAATGTAAATATGTCACGCAGGATATTGCCGACCGACACCGCTTTCCGGAACGACGTCGCTTATTAATCCGACCCTCGCTCCTGAATATGGATACTCGCGGCGGAATCCACCAAGCGAGGCAATATTTAAGGAACGTGGATTATAGCACAATAGATAGAAGAAACAAGCCACTTTCAACTACATGAATTGCCCCCTAAACGCACTGCTTGATGATAAAATACAACTGTTCAAGTACGTTCTATGTCCGTCGGTGTCACTCGTCCCTTTTATATGGTCGTTAAAAGCGTTAGTTTTCCCTCGCATCTGCTCTAGTCCTAGACCCTCTTCCCAAGAGATATCTTGCTGTCAATCAGATGAAGATCCCTACGCCAAGCTCCGACTAAAGGCGAGGGGAGCTTCAGTTTCCATTGGAAGGCGGAGCCTCGCGGGCACCGCACTCATACTCCGAGCAAAGGAGGCCGTCAAAGTTACCGATATACTTGTCTACAAACCCGTAAGTTGGACTCCTTCCCGCCAAAGGGTAGGAAAACTTACCGAGGTTGATGCTCGTGGCCTGGAAGTCGCCCCGTCCATCCAGGCACCTGCACGCGAGGTGAGCTGTGCCCCAGCGTTTGCAATCGATGCAAGTCGAGGAGAAGGAGCCGTTTCGCCGGTAGGCCAGCTGGCCGCGCTCGTTGCCGAGCATGTGGTCCAAGCCGATACGAGACCAAAAGAGTTTTCCTCGGCGTCCGCCACTGCCGCGGCAATGGGCCCAGATGGCACTATTAAGCTCCCAGACGACCCAGTTGGGGGCGCAGGTCTTCAAAAAGCCCCCGGCATCCTTCTTGCCGGAGAGGGAGCGAGCGTTGGGACGGTGTCCGGTAAGGGCGGAGGAGGGTTCAGCGGCATGGGCGCGCGTGGGGAGGCCAAGGTGGCCCTTCTCCTCTTCGGGGTCTTTGGGCCCATCTTCGTCCTCGGAACCCTGCTTGTAGGAGCCATCGCCTTCGAGGCTCTTGGCGAGGGGTCTGGCTCGGCTGTTGATTATATTTTTAGAGACCGCATGGGGGACAAAGGTGGTGGGGAGAGTGTCGATAGACCCTTGTTGGGCGGGAAAGGTGACAGTGTGGAAGGTAGCAGGAAGTACAGAGAGGAACGATTCGTCGGGAATCGTGGTGGCAATAGCTTTGATGGGTTTCCATGAGGCGGCAGTCAGGGCTGTGGTGGTTGAGTGAAGCTGCGCGTTGGCGTGAGTGGTAACGAGGCCTAATGGGACACCTATGGCGACAAGTATCTTCATCTTGACGGACCTCGTTGTGTTGAATTTGTAGTATACTAGTGATTAAAAGAAGGAAGGATCCCACGGTATTTCTTTCTTTGTGATTGCGCTGTTGGGCTAAAGAAGCTTCACCTTAAGGTGGCAGGTGAGTATGATAAAGATTTCCCAGATTAGCAGGAGCGAAGGGAGTGAAGGGGTATGGGCCTTGCTTTCACCTGTACCTTACCTGGGTAGGTAGTTACCTAGGTAGTGAGCATATGGCCAGGGTGGCAATTGACGTATTTATAAACGGTCATTCCTACCTGCCTTTAAGAAAATGTTAGTGGAGAATGAAAGTCAGATCAGTGGAGGTTCAGATTGTGTATCATGCAAGGCAAAAGCAAACTTCACCGACTCCAAGGAATAACAAGATGCAGGTTCTTGAAGGTCTCTTTGAACCTCGTCCCCTGCATGTTGCACGACACAGAGGTCACCCTCCATGTCTTGCAATGCCACTCAGGTATGGTCCTCATTTCGTGGCTAGCACGCAGCTGTTGCTATCGGCATTTATAGATGTTGGAGTTGACAAGCGTTGAAACCAGTAGCACAGTCTCTTTACCAAGTGTCGTTTGGAACATGCTTCGCCAGTCTCTATTTAGGGTCAATCACTTGATAGCAAGGCCCTTTATACCAATCGATGCAGCGTCTGTTGCGGGTATTAGGTAGACTGGGCAATCACACAGTGAACTGGCAGTTTACGACATCTCACAGAGGTTGTGATGAGTAGTATCCATGTCAGAAATGGGACGGTTACAACATCATAGACGTCAAGGATGGCGACATGGTCTTCATGGTTGTCTTTCGACATCTTCTAGGCGAGGACTGATATCACTCGAAGGGAGCTGAGGCGGAAGTCCAAAGGAGGAAAGGCGGTGGCACAAGTGGTGGGAGATCTGTTTTGAAGTAATACAGGCCTCTGCTGGTAGTGTTGATAGGTCGGATTCGGGGTTTATGTTTGTCGTCTATACCCGCTCCGTTCTTTGCCCCGGAGAGCTTGAAGACAACAATAGACCAACGATGTCCACGTAAACGTTTGGTAAAACTTAATCAACAACATCTCGGCCCTGATACCACGCGTCTCAAATATATCAACAACGCAAACAGACTGCCTGACGCAAAGGCTATCAAGTTGCAGGTCGATTGGCTCCAGGGCCTGAGAGATGCCGCCGGCCGTGGCCCAGCGTTCAACATTATACTGTTGATTAAGCTTGTGACCAGAAAGGCCAACGGGCCCATGCGAGTAGTGTTCTGGCTTGTCATTGTCACGCGATGGCGAGCCTTGGCTCATGGCAAGCACGCTGCTGTACACCATCAACCATTGTTTGCTGCATTCATCATTTGCCTTTGTTGAGCACTTTCCATCTCGCCGCAGCCCTCTTTCCATCAGAAGATGTACTGTTTGAAATGAACAGCTCCTTTGGGCGAGGTATTTAATCCCGTTTCTCCTTGCCTACTTCATGCGGCGTATGTCTTACAGAGGGTGACACATTCCACACTTGATATATTCCACAATGGTCAGGTTTCTTTCTATTGCATCTCTTAAAGGCGTTTTGCTTGTTCTCGGCGCCGCCAAGGTCAGCGAGGCCGGCTTTCTAAGTGACGGCTGCGGGTTCATGGGTGACGGCCCAGAGTTTACCTTGCGCGGCGACGGATCCATCACGACTTACTGCAACGACAAGGTCTGCAGCACCGTGACGTTCACCGTCATCAATCTGAATGACTGCATCACCAACGTGTATGGTGACCTCCAACCCAAGGCCGAGGGATACTAGTAATACTCCCTTTCATAAATGACTCGTCTCTTGGAGGCGGATACTTGCTAATGAGAGATTGCAGCGGCAATTTTTGGCAAAGCTGCAAGGACTGCAGGATAGAGGGCAGCGATATCGTTTGCCAGTGCGCGAAGGGTGATGGAAGCTTCAAGGAGTCCTCCCTCAACGTTGGTAAGTAGCTGCAAATGCTGCCTACTCACGAGGACTTGGACTAATTCATGCCTCTCAAGACGACATCGTTTATAATTGGAATGGATACCTGTCCTGCCACGGTCAGATTTCGAACTGCTACCCGATGCGCTGGAGTTGCAAGGGCGCAAACTGGTGGCCTGGCGGGTGGCGTCCCACTATCGTCGACACCCCTTGTGACATCTGGCAAGCTGCCATGATGCCGCCGGCAAACTTGACATTGCCTCCAGGTTTGACGCTGTCGACTGATCTGGTCCGAAGGAAGGGCGTAGCCAGGGCTTAGAGAAAGGGTCGGAGATATGGCCGGGGATACGTTTGTCATTGCATGGTGGCGCACCGGAGTCAAGTATGGGAATATGGACATAAGGGGTACGCCGACAAGAAGTACACCGAAGAAGGACTGAGTGGGGAAGCGAGTACCTGAAGGAAACGATGTGACTTGAGCCAGGATTGTAAATAATGTATGAAATGGCAATTCGCAAGTGCCGCTGAGCGAAAGTTGCATGAGAAGTGGCTCAAGGCGGCTGACCACACACGTAATCGTTGCGAAGGGGGCTTAAGGATAGGTATGAAGTGACCCAAGGAGCGGTAGCACGATCACGCGTGCGCAAGCAGCCTGTACGGGCGAGCAGTGACATCAGTGAGGGCATCTCGTTGTAGGCGGGTGTTGGCAACCTAGTGACCCGAGGACGTTTTTTGGTCAACAAGGGTGAGAGACAAGCGGAAGCCGCTCGGTAACGCGGCGACCTAGGGATTTGAAATGCAGTGTGCATGTACGATGGTTACTGGCAGCAGCAGGATTCGAAGGTCACAGGCCGGGTAGGTGGGCGACGGCGTGACCAGCCATGCGATTGCGTAAGCCGTCAATCGATATACGGCGTCTGACGATGCGGTCGGTATTGGGAAACGGTGCTTTGTGTAAATGCCTATTCATCGAGATAGCTTACACAGCAGACTGCAGCATGTTCACAGCTGACATATCGCCGGACGCCGCGGAGGATGACGAATCGTTGCAAGACTGTTGCAAGCAGCAGGACAGGAATGCTACAACCGATGGTACTTCAGGATAAGCCGGGTGTCCGGTGAGACGGGATTGCTCGACCGCCCCAAAGTAGGCGGATTCCGGGATTCAGAAACCGTGCACAGCAAGAGTCTGGACAATTAGCTCTACGGGCACGTGAGATGAGGCGCGAGGTGGTATGCGTGAGAGGGGATTGCTCCGGCGCGGGTCGAAATGTGACAGCGGGCGGCAAAGAATCGCAGATGAGGGGAGATTAACGTGCAGATATGAAAAACAAACAGGCTTGGGGTCCGTCGAGGAAGGCGAGCATGTAGCGACAGGGTGGAATTGCACCGCACCCGATGCAAGGAACTGTTTGCTTCGTGAAACAGCCAACCCAATATCAGCAGATAGCAGGATATTGCGTGAGGTCGCATGTGCGGGCTGCCTCCGTGAAAGATGAAACCCGAACGAGGAAGTAGCGCTCCTGAATCCTTCACGCTGTATCCGTACCTACCATAGGGCACCTACCTAACCGGATAATAGAAGCTAGTAGCTGAGGGCGGAGCAGCCACATGGACCAGCCACACAGGGCAAGCCACCCCACCTACTCCAAGATTTGCCCTGGCCGCCCTTGATGCGTCCTGTTCATTGGATGGCGGGTCGGCCATGAGCCTATTCAGTGGAGCATCTGACACACGACTGTGGCGCAGTCGTTATCCACCAAAACAATCCCCGCGGCTCAGTCTTTGTCAGTTGCGGCGCTTGTTTCCATTTTAGTTGCCGTTGTTTGCAACTCCTAACACGGCGTAACACAGCAAACCAAACTCTCTTATCTCACGTCTAAGCGCCCCGTGGGTCTTGGCTGTTGACGGTCTCTCCGTTGTTTCCTCTTCGCACCACATGCAGTCATACTTCGTAGATGGCGCCTCATCTGTCAGTGAGAACTGCCCGGATCACAGGGTGCCCACGCCCTATCTTCCTTCCAGCGGGTACATGACCGAACATTGCGATGCCTAGACTTTTTGTTGGTGTGTAACCAGAAGTGGTCAGCATTGTTCTGGAGCGTGGTGTGGTCCATGATCGACTGATCGCGCCTCCATGCGGCCGCAAGCCGTCGATCCATCTCTTCGGGTAGGGCTGGATGTCACATTTGCATTCAGCCTTGATTTCGGCAGCATGGCAAGACCTTAGACAACATGATCTCCCGCTAGCATCATTGGCCAGCATCCTAGGCGCTTGAGGTGATGTCGACAAGGAGGGCACTCAGGTCCCAGTCGCCCCGGTTCACACACCAGTCTCTCAAGGCGCCAAACTAGCGCGCAGACATGCCAGTCTGAAGCAAATGGCGACCATCCTAGATCATATGACCGCGTTTCTTGGCATCCAGATCCCAAGCACCCTCGGCACGAGGCATTCATGCTAGATCCACGAGCCGCAGTTTCTTCTCTACGAGGGATTGGGATGCGGGGCAACGGCTGATGTGCGACTGGACCAACCCGGGCGCTCAGAAGTTCTGGTCAAAATCCAGCCCTATGGAAGCGTCCCCTCATCTCGGGCTCAGGCCAGGATGCCCGTTGTCCTGGACGGCATCACCCACCCCACGCGCGAGCTCCACGCAGTCCGGCCCAGACAGACTCGATATCACTAATGCGGAGAGGTCGTTTATGGTCATACTGTTTCCAGATGGCAGATGCTAAGTCCGAAGATGGCCAGCTTGGTGTACATCGGGCGCTACGTTTGTCAAGAGGCGTGAGTCCGCTCCGTATCTACCCCGGCATTCCTTCCGGTCCGCTCCGATGCACTTCATCTCGCTACCACGTTTACCGCCATAAATGGTATCGTCTCTGCTTACGGATACTTGACGCATTGTTATCCAGGGCCTCTAGCCAGAAATCACCCTATCGACTTGGCATCGTGGTTCAAACCCCGTCTACCTCCGGTAGAGTACAGAGCGAACTTCCTATGCCGGTCAGCAGTAGCGCCACTGCCTCCTCTCAACTCCGTACGTTCTTCGGCCACACATCGAACGCCGCTAGATGCATCCTTTTCTAAAGATGCAAGCCGCGTTCGCTTGAGCAATGAGATTCCCGGGATGGCCACGGGCTTTGAACCCATGCCACGGGCGCGCCCTTCGCCCCACCACTAAAATCTGACGTTGCCTTTCTTGGAACCCTGGGAACCTCGTCTCGTACTCAAGAGCAGCCTATGGCCGGTCGTACGCCGTATCCCCTCCTCGGTAGGGCTGCAGAACAACCCTCCCGTGGCCTGCCACCACCCCCCTCCCAGAGGCATGCATCGCCGGCCGCTTAGCCGCCCCGACTGCTGGGTTTAGCCCATCACGGTGGCCATCGTCATCGGCTCCGGACAAAAATATGTTTTGCTCTGTCAGCAGTTTCTTTTACCGGCATCTATCTCGTTCTGCCCAATCACTAGCTCCAACCTCGTTGTCCTAGCCATCACCTTGCACCGATCATGCAGCTCAAGCTCCTAGCGCAACGAGTCATCGAACACACCAGGATGTTCGACACTGACCAGAGGTTCAACACAGCCAGTTTCCCGGGACAGATGAGGGTTGGAGTCGGGGTTAGGATGGCCACCCGTTGGCTGTTCCTGGCCCCAGCCCAACCCCCCACCTCCGTGCCATGGCTCGATGTCATTCTCGGCTTCGAGGTTTTGAATGCCGAACGCCATGGCTTGCTTCCCGATGCCTCTCATCAGCCCCAGCCTCAGCTTCGGCCGCAGGTACCGCAATGCGGATTCCTGCCCGCCTAGGGTTCGGGTTACCGTACTGGTATCGTCAGAGTAAATGATGCTCAGCACGAACACCCGTGGCTTGCACGCTGTTGACCACATCTCCCAACTCCCGTTTATTCCGTCATCCTCTTCTCCTTGTGGCCATTTAGATCATGCATCCGCCACTCCGGGCGGCCCTCTCTTTCAATACCCGACATTGCCGGATGTCTTCCTGGGTATTACTTTCTTCCAAGCCATCTGACCTCTTCACCGGTTATCCAAAGGTCCACAGACGCACATAATCGCCTCTCCGTCATACGTCTTTTCCGGGGTCTCTCTGCTGCGGTGCCCTTTGAGGACATCAGACGGCTATTTCGAATTGCCAACCGTCCACCGACGTCATTGCGCGGGCCGAAATCTTCAGCTGGCTACCTCAATCGCATCGTTTGCGAGTCTCAAGGATTCCGCAGGGTAGATGGACGGTACGATGAGTTCTCAATACGACTCCAAGAAACAGGATATATCAATGGATGTGCCTAGTCTCAACACAAGATCTTCCTCCACCCATACATACAACAACCTCACTGGACTCCGAGACCAACTCAACCAACACACCCAGTTCACACTCGAAGATATCCTTGCCGCCTTCTCGCCATCATCCCTCACCCAGGAGTCTCGTGTTGTCCGTACATCGACAACCGCTATGTCTTCGTCACGTTCCAGCCGTTCGGGAGGATCGTCAGGTCACCGCAGCTCCAAGAGCAGCAAGAAGCCGAGGGCGGTTCAAGTTAGTAACGGTCTCTTCTTTGTACTACATCCCTCAGACGCGCCACTGGCACACCTCCTTCCGCCCCTCCACGCATGCCTCCTTGAGACTCCCAGCTCGCCTGAGCCCCATTTTCGAGATCGTTTGAACTGACATCCCATCACAGCAGTCGATCCAGCAACTGATAGACTCCCTCGAGACACATCGCGTCAACACCCTAACAGGGCTCTGCCGTATCGAGCGCGTGGCGGCGACGTGCGAGAACGAAGAGGACGCTATGGCTTTCCAAGGCCCTATGACCTCCGCCTGGGACTACTACGTCAACAGCAACCAGTTCCTGACGGAGCTCCGCGGCCTAACGCGGAGCTACCCCCTGTGCGGCGACATCCTCTACGACGCCCACGTGCGCGTGCGCAACGACCCCAACTCCAACAAGAGCTGGAACCTGGCGTGGCTGTGTCTGGTGAAGATCCAGGAAGAGTGAGCAATCCACCCATCCCCGTATACACGGACAAGGCAAGTTGCGCACATGCACAGAGAAGCTGACCACGCGGTGCGTCGATAGTGACCTGGTGTCTGGGTACGCCGCCCTCGAGGCCTCGAAGCCCGAAATGTGGGGAGGCCGCGAGCCCTCTCAGGAAGAGGCGGCCCAGCTCGCCGCGTGTTTCCAGTATGAATGGAACAAGGCCGTCGAGACCATGCTCAGGCACTGGTCCATCCCCCCGACCTGGTACTGATCGGGCTCGAATCCCGGCGAGGCAGAGACGACGAGGGTGGCGACAACGAGACACTCGTATCTGCGCAATAAGATGAAGCGCGATGGCGTAAGCATGCGTTCGGGCGTTTGGAAGCGATCGGATTTGGGCGGCATTGATCTGGCCGATGAAGCATTGGGATTTGGCGCAGGCATCAGCATTTCAACGGCATACACCTCATCATCTAGGACGTCATTGTGGGTTTGAGGCGTATATTTCTACGGTATTTTTTGCGTAACTTTCACTTCTCATTATAACGTATTATACCGGAGGTAGATAGTCACAGGGCGATGCGTATCGCCAGGGGGGATGGGGGGGAGGGGGGGGGGGTTTCTGGCAAGCCCCTGGAGTTCTGTCCCATCACATGAGATAGTTAGCATCATCAAAAGAGGAGTCATTTGTTCTTTCTTCCTCCTTTCGGAACGATCGCTAGGAGAACACTCTCGCCAAATCGATACAATGTTTAGAGGGCGGGGCCGTTCTGATGCTCGTATTGTGAGCTCGGACAAACTGAACACTCGAGGGGGGGTAACTGGGCAGTTGAATCCATCATCTAATCTATCTTGATTGCTCTTTTGAGATCTAGCCCCAGAGTAGTCTCTTGGATCTAAAAACTGGTCTTTCTGCCTCCCTCTCATCCGTGACGGAGGAGAGGATGAGTTCGTGTGTGCCCCTCTATCAATGCAAAAGCTAAATGGAACATAAAAAGAAAAAAAAGCTGTACCCGCTGTACCTATATACATTTCCGGCCCTTGGCAGACGCTATGATCACTCTAGCTTTTCTTCCGACATATATCTAGTAAATCCATGTCCCTTTTCTGAACCCCTTTTCTGACCCGGGGTGGCTGGTTCAGACCCCGGGCACGTGAGTTCCGCAGTCACATAGTGGATGGTTTACGGTTCGGCCTCACCGTCGGTGCCATCCTCCTCGCCGACCCAGTCGTCGCTCTCGAGACCGCGGTTGCGAATAGCAAGGGAACCGAGCCAGCCAAGCAGGGCAATGCCCCCAAAGATGCCCCAGGCGAGGGCCTCGCCCTTCGGGTGCACGCGCGTGGACAGGGTGAAGAGGGCGCCTGAAACAAAGGGTCCGAAACTGCGGCCTGCTGCTGAAAGAGTCTGGGCGATGCCGTTCAAGGTGCCCAGGGTGGCATGATTCGGAGCACAGTTTGTGATCTATAGGGTCAAACTGTCAGTGGGGAGGTTCGAAACAACCAAAGCCGGCTTGAGCTCACCAGAAGCATCACACTGGACAGACCGCCCACGGCGCAGATGTTTTTCACGATGAGAACGATTCCCAGCTCAATGTATAGCCAGGTGGAGCCTGTACCGAGGCCGAAAGAGGGCTCGTCGTCCAGATAGCCGATCCACGGCATCAGGGCCATGCTGAGGGCCAGTCCCAACAAGGCTATACGGTAGGTACCCAGGTTGCCCAACCGCGTTTTCAAAGGCTGGAAGAGGAAGCCCTGGAACACGATGGTGGCCACGCCAGCAAGACTCAAGCTCATACCGATCTTGCTGGGGGGCAGGCCACGGCCGGTTGGCGGGTTAGCGTCGGCGAAGATGGGGTAGAGACTGTTGAACGAGATGTTGGACAGCTGGAAGACCAGATACGTCAACAACACCAGAATCGTGTTGCGGTTCAACAGTTGGTGCCATGTCGCGACCTCGCTGGAGGACTTGGCATCGTCGTCCGCCGCCCCGGGGCCGCCCTCCGATCCCGGCTGGAGCAGCCCTTGGTCCTCGGCCACGTCGTCTTCGTCGTCCTCGTCGTCGGAAGTGCTCACGACGATTTGCGATCCGCGACGGGGCCAGCGGGTGGCCCAAGAATTTCTTTTTGGCTCCGGGCGCCGCTGGGTCCAAGACCATGCCTTGCGGGCCCAGTCCGGAATCCAAGCAGCGTGGCCCGACTGGATGGTTTCCAGTGTCTCCTCGAACCAGATGCCCACGACAAACACGCTGACGAGCAGCAATGCGGCGCTGACAAGGTTTGGTGCCAGGTACGGATACCGTGTTCCCAGTATGCCCACCAGCAAACCACCCAGGGCGGGACCGGTGATGCCGCCGAGGGAGTAGATGACAGGAAGCCAGGTAAAGGCCCGGCTCTGGTTTGAGCGATCCGTCACCTCGCCTAGGACGGTGGGCACTACCGCCGCATTGCCATTGAGCATACCCATTGCGACGTGAACGGCTACAATCTGCCAGTAGGTCCTGCAGAAGCCGAAGGCGACGAAGCAGCACGCGAGCATGAAGGTGCCCAGGACCATGGTAGGCTTCCGGCCAACCACGTCAGAAAGATAACCCCATAGCAGATTTGTCGACAATTGTGCCAACGCAAAGGCCGAGGCCAGGATGCCGACGTAAAGACCCGTCTGGGCGTCGGGAATGTCGGAAAAAGACTCGACCATCTGAGGCAGATAGGGTCCAATGGAGTTGAGGGCCGTCTGCTCAGTCAGGGAAAGTAAGGCCAGCAGGGCAAGCTGCTTGACCGGCAGAGGGGTCTGCTCATGATCGTCGTCGGTTGGGTTCGAGCTGTCATCGGGATGTGGGAAGTGCTCGGCCGAGGACTGCTCGCGAGGGGTCTTTGGGGGCGGGGTCGGAAAGGTGTGGTACCGATGGGAGGACTGACGGCGTATCGCAATCCTCCGGCTGGATTCGATGTTTCCCAGTGTAGGGATCGGAGCGCCGGCGTGGAATGAGCCTGACGAGGCTGTGCGCGTTGCTGCAGAAGCACGGACAGCGTTATTCCGGGCCATGTCGAGCTCGAAGACGAGGGAGTCGGTCGGTCGGGTCGTTGTCGTATGCGGTCTGTTAGCGAGGTACGCCGCTCAGTACAGCAGTTGCAATTCGCAGCAGTGGCAGTGATGTCGGGAAAAACTCCACGGGAGGTTCGGTGGTAGGTCGTCGGAGATGGATTCGGTGGACGATGCTCTGTCTCGGGTGTAGCTGCTGGGCCAGGCTACCCCGCTGCCAGGGTCTCACGGTGATGGAATGCAGAATCGCAGCCTCCAGCGCATGGTCTCGAGTAATTTATTGGTGCGAGGAGGCGACAGGTGGTGGTGGGGGAAAGAGAAAATAAATAAACAAGTGATTGCGACACGCCGAGATTCGGAATGCGTCCTTGGTCCCTGGCCTTGGTCGCACAGGCAGAGAGTCGACAGTCGTGTGTGGTGTTGGATGGTGTCGCGGAAGGGAGAGCTTGTGACGGGTGTTGTAGGCATCCGTTGTTTGGCGGCGGCAGTGGTTAAAGAAGATATGGCGGGAGGATATCGGCAGGAATTGGCTTTGGCTGGATGCGACGTGACAGCTACTGCTCGCTGCACAGAACAACCCAAGAGAGGAAGAAAGGGCCCTGAAAGACATAAGCGAGACAGGGCGGGATCCAATAGGGACGAAGCACAGACAAGGGTGACCTCATTTTGCTGCGTTTTTTTTCTTCCTTCTAGGTATTATGGGTCCAAAGTCAGTTAACTCTTGGTATTCGTAGGTACCTATCGGGGGCTTCCCCCATCCATCTCGTTTCGCTAGGTATTTGGCTGTGGCTCGTGCGCCGGAACAAAAGTGTGGGTGTGGTCAGCGGGAAGTTTCGTGTTAGCTTCCCGCCCTGACAGCTGCCCATTGCACTAACAGCCGGACAGGCATCAGTCTCTCGTAGCCCTCCTCGTGCTTTATGTGCAAAACTAGCTTTCTCGGCCATCTCGCTGCATCTGATGACGTCTTTTTTTCCTGACCAATGAGGCTTGTCATTGGCCGAGGCCATCTGATCTCCAATCTCTGATCTGGCACTCATCATCCGAGATCCCTCTCCAACCTCCCAACCCCCCCGACCTAACTTCCAACGGCCACTAAACTTGCTCCTCTGCATTCGCATTCTGCTCGCCGCCTCCAACGGTTTGTTCTCTTTCTTTAGGGTTTACCAAATCATTTGACCGTACAGACCGCCATATTGTTTCAAGGCACTCTGCTTATGACCACAGATTGCTAGTCCCGACGATATCCCCCACCCTGGGCGTCATCTCCCGTTGGAGTGCAACATGTGACGATGGATGCAAAAACCTCCGATGCTAGCCAAATGCAGGGTCTCATCGTGTGCCCCGTTATCAAGCAAAGATGTTGTCCGCGCCTTTCATTTTACGGTACGAGGTCGGAAATTTAGGCCGACTACTCAGAGTCAAATGTGACGGCTGGAGGGTGCTGTACGGTGCCAACAAAGACGCCCCTAACCTCGTGTCGTAACGATTATCGGCCAAACAATTGCCTAATGAACTGGAAGCCATCCCAGATGACCCAACCAATTGAAAACACACACGACTAGCCTTGCTTGGTTCACCAACCTCGCTCTCGATATGGCACTTTGAGGTTTAGATCATCAGAACGCAGCGGTCTCACAGGGTTGCTTGACATACAATAGACGGCCGGACCAGCTACACCTGGACACCAGTATTTTGCGCCGTATTCAAACACGACTGCAGACTCCACGGAAAGAAATAGGTACACCCCCGTCAGACACTCGCAACCAGAGGGTTCACGCGACGAGACGACGGGTGGGAACAACAGGAGTCCAGATGCATCTGCGAGGTTTTTGGTAACCTCCGAGAAGGTGATGCAGCATTGGTTGATGATGGAATCCATCCTTGAGTGAAGCGCTTCTTTCCAGAGCGACCTCAAGCTGGACGGCATTGATGGAAAGCAGCGGGTGAGACGGTCATCAAAATAGGTCTTGCCTTGTGCGCATGTCGAATGATCACGGCCGGACAAGGCTACTTCAGGGGAAGGGTCCTTTGGAAAGCCGATGCCCAGATGCGTCGTGGGCAGTGCCTTGAGGTCTCGGATTGTCTCGGTCAACGAGGAGCCGAGAATGGTGAACCCCTCCCCCTTTTGATGCTGAGCGCACGTCTACCAGCGAAGACCCGTGCCAAGTCGGAGTCTTAGTGCGCTTGAGATTAGGCCGAAGGCCAACAAGTCTTGGGGCCACACACAAGACGATTCGGGACCATTGCTTTTGTTCATTCATTTAGGTTTCCTCTTTTCTTCATGTCTTTTCCCTTTTCTATTTCTATTTTTTTTTCATTCAGCATTATCATTAGGTTTATACAAACACACGGAGGAACTCAACCAGGGCCATCATGGCCATGGCCTGGCCATATGGCATACTCGTCCGCGGAATGTCCTTGTAATGCTGCAGGTTGTGTCCCATAGCAGTGCCGAACGAGGTGTTGAGCAGCTCACCCCCGGGGCTAATGTTGTCCAAGACGGCCTTGACAGCCTTGACGACCACGGCCTCGTACTCCTTGCCAATGTATCTCTTGCGCTGAGCCTTTAGGATGCCGTACGCGAAGCCGGCGGTGGCGCTCGCCTCGACGTAGGAGCCCTCCTCCTCGGCGACGTCCAGTAGCGTCCTCCACAGGCCGCTCTCAGCCTGCAGGGGCACGAGGGCGGCGCACTGGGCGTCGAGGGTATTGACGAGATGCGAGCGCAGCGAATCGTCGCCGCTGAGGTTTAGAAGCTCGATGAACTCGGGTATGGCGATGGTCAGCCAGCTGTTGCCGCGGGCCCAGCGGGCGCGGGCAAAGTTATGGCCACCGTCGTGGAAGGTCCAACCGTGGAAGAAGAGGCCGGAGCAGGGGTCGAAGAGGTACTGCAGGTGGATGAGAAACTGCTTCTTGGCCTCCTCGACGTAGTGGGGGCGGCCGAGGACGAGGCCGATCTTGGCGAGAGGCAGGACGGTCATCATGAGGGTGTCGTCCCAGAGCTGCTGGTCATTGACGTCGAGGTAGGTGATGTGTTGCATGCCGCCGTACTTTGTGCGCGGCAGGTCGTAGTAGGCCCACTCCGCCCAGCTGTCGAGCCAGGGTAAGTAGGTGCTGTTGCCTGTCTTCTCGTAGACGTAGGCGAGGGTCAGGAGGGCGGCCATGGTGTTGATGTTCTTGCCCTTGTGGCCCTCCTCGAAGCGGTTCTTGAACCAGTCCTCAATGACCTTGAGGTCGGCCGGGTCGCCTTTGAGCTCATAATACTTCCAAATGCCATACAGGCCGATGCCGTGGGTCCACTCCCAGTCCTCCCAGCCCTTAGTGTCGATGACGCGGCCGTTCTCGAGCGTCATCAGGAACTCGCCCGTGGTGTCGTTGATGTTGACCATATCATGGATCAGCTGCTTAACCTGCTTGTGGACGTCGTCCCGCTTGACGCCCGCCACCTCGTTGATCCCGGCAGGCATTCTGACGGCGTTTAGGGCGACGACGTTGGGCTCGAGGTGTGGTTGGGACCCGTTTGGTGTCTATCGTCAGGAACTCTGGCAAAACAGCTTCACCGCATACACAATCGTGGCGTGGTTTTGGGTGCAAGGCTCTTTATCAAGGGGGACAAGTTGCGTCTGGCGGGCAGAAATGAGGGGTCAACGGACGGTTGACTGGAAGGGGATAAGGGATTCGTGGAGAGGGTGACCGAGGTCCAAGACTCCTCTCCTCGGGACGCGCTTTCCAGGGTGCGGTTTGACGCAGGAGATTCCTAGACTTGGCAAACCCCACCCAGAGGGCCGCAGAACCCCATGAGAAGGACGAGTTGTCTGGCGTTTACTGGGTTGCTCCTTCTGCAACACAACTGGCGATTCTGCAGTTTGAAGGGTGCAGGAACGCCTGCCTCTGCGAGGAGGGTGGGAGGTGGCATGATTGGTCGAGAGCACATTGTACCCACTTTGTGCGTTATCCCGCCGGGGTAATCCACTGCCAGCTCGGCTGCTCCTCCCCCGCGCCCCGGCCCAGTTACGGCCCAGTTACCCCGCGCCGGTGGAGTCTCTCCCAGACTTTTTGGTTGCTTGTTATCCGTACTTTGTGCATCCATCTGTGTTTTCCTTATCCATACACTGTACTCCGTAGAGCTCCCCAATACTTTTCCCACCTTGTGGCCGATTCCTTGCACATTCCGTTCGCCCAGAAATGCGGCGAAGAACCAAGACTTGCGGCGGCCGGGAGAGCGTCCAAGTGCCACGCCAAGCCGCTGGCGGCTGACGCCTCGATGCTCTATCATCATGCCTTCCATCTTGCTAGGATACTGACAAGGCCACGGGTTCTACCATAGCGATTGAACGCTCAAACGGCACTACATGAGCTTTCTGTAAATGTCGGGGTGACACAAATTTGAGTATCTTGCTCCAGTATAGAGAAATCAGTTAACAGACTAGGCTTGAGCCGCATTTCCGTTGCAAGAAACTACCAATCAGTCTTCCCAACTGGGAGGCCATAGGCTCACGCCCTTGTGGCGGGTGGTCCTGGCCAGCCGTGCCAACCATGAAGAGCCAAAGAAAAACCCTACCTGTCGGAGCCATGCGTTCACACCCCATTCCCACCATCTTTGCAATGAACTTGTTTGCATGGCCCCCATCGCCTGTATCGTCCCCTGCCTTTCATCCGGCATTAGTAACGTTCCCACAATCCAAATTCCAACACCGGCTCATGTCGTTTTAGCCATGGGTCCTTCCACACGCAAGAGGCTCGCCTCATATTGGTCCAACCCGGCGAGCCACTATCGTAACTATACCAGGATGACCGGGAAGAACGCACGCACGCACGCAAACAAGCGGAGTCTGATGGAGAGAATGGACCAAGGACGTACATTATGGAGGAGGGGTGCGTCGTGTGCCCAAGCTGTCGGCACACCTCGCCGTCCGCCACGCGGTCGAATGAGAACCCAATCTACACCCGCTTGCCCTGTCATCCACCGTCCATTCATCGCCCGGCTTGAGCTTGAGCTCCACCCCTTGAGCCATTCAGCCCACTGGAATCAACTCCGTCTCCCCAGGACTCATTGGAGAGGGTTGGCTTTCTTCCGTCGTTCTTTTCCCCCGGGGACCGAACTCTGGGGCACCCCCAGCAAAAGCCTTGGGGTAGACATGAGGAGAGAATGTGGGTGAGATCCTGGGGTTTGGCAGGCAGCTGAATGAACCCGCTGAAAGGAGGAATAATAAGACACTAAGCACCGGCTCGCCTTCCCGATACCTTACCCATACCGAACACAATCTGGCCTACTCCATTTAATATCTGTTTTATATAGAACGAGGTAGCATCCCCTTCTCCTTTCTTTCTTCTCGTCAGCTTGCCCGGCTTCTTCCTTTCAAGAGGTTAAACAGACTATGGGCTCAAAGCCCCATCCAGCCAGCTGAGATCTTTGTTGTGTCTCTCCCGTTCTACCGGCTTCCACGCCATCGACAACCCACTTGGTCCCGTCTCACCGGCCAGGCAGCATGGCTTCCACCGAAGTCGTCGACCCGGAGTTCGTCCGTCCCACAAAGACGCCGGGCAAGAAGTCGTTCCTGGAAGTTGAGCGATCCGTGTCTAGCGAAAAGGCCGACCGCCAGCGCCTCGAAAAGGTCGACAATGAACTATCCAAGTACGTCGGTGACGGCTCCATCACTGTCTCCCGGGAACGGAGCGATGAGCTACGCAAGATGATCGACCGTCGGGTCCTGGTCATCATGATCGGAACCTATTTCCTTCAGGCTATCGACAAGGGCACCATGTCCTTCGCGTCCATCATGGGTCTCCAAGAGGACACCAAACTCAAGGGCCAGGAGTTCGCCTGGCTGACCACCTGTATATACATCGCTATACTGTGCGTCGAGTACCCACAAAACTACATCATCGCCCGCGTCCCCATCGCAAAGTACCTGAGCTTTTCCATCATCGCCTGGGGTACCGTGCTTGCATGCCACGCCGCTTGTGCCAACTTCACCGGTCTCGTTGTCGTCCGCACCCTCCTCGGTATCTTCGAGTCAGCTTGCCAGCCTGCCTTCGTCGTCCTCTCTTCTATGTGGTACCGCCGCGAGGAGCAGGCGTCCCGTGTCACCTACTGGTACATGATGAATGGCGCCCAGCAGGTCGTCGGCGGTCTCCTCGCCTATTGCTTCACCCACATCAAGACCGGTCCGCTCAAGTCCTGGCAGTGGTTATTCCTAGCCTACGGTATCATCTCCGTCATCTTCGGCGTATTCGTCCTATTCTGGATGCCCGACTCCCCCATGCGTGCCAAGTGCTACTCCGAGGAGGTCAAGCACGAGATGGTTGAGCGTGTCCGCGACAACCAGACCGGTATTCAAAACAAGACCTTTAAGCGCGAGCAGGCCATTGAGGCCCTCAAGGACCCCCAGGTCTGGGGGTACTCCCTCATCGCCCTTTGCACTACTCTGCCCACTTCTGGCCTCGGCGCCTTCGCCAACATCATCATCAAGAGTTTCGGCTTCAACACCCTTGAGGTCCAGTTGCTCGCCATGGTTCTTGGTTTTTATATCATCTTTGTCCTCCTTGGTTCCGTCTGGTTGGTGAAGAGATTCAATCAAAACCTCTACGTCATGCTCGGCTTCTGTGCTCCGTACGTTCAGAGTATATTCATTCACGTTTCCTTCAGTTGACTAACCATATCGCTAGCTCCATTGTTGGCACTGTTCTCCTGATGACCATCCCCAACGATACCTTCTCCCAGAGGGTCGGTTTGCTCATCTGCTACTACATCACCCTGTCTTTCTGGTCTGCACAAACCCTCGCCTTGTCTCTCATCTCCCGAAATATTGCTGGCCAGACCAAGAAGCAGTTCGCTGTCGCCATCAACTTCATTGTATGGGCCGCCGGTAATTCTATCGGCCCCCAGGTCTTCCTCAAGTGGGATGGTCCCCGCTACTTTATCGCCTTCGCCACTCACTTGGGCTGCTACGCGCTGCTTATCATCATCATTATTGGTCTCCGCATCTACCTCTCCCGCGAGAACGGGAAACGAGACGCCATGGTCGCTGCCGGTATCGCGGAAGCTTCTCCCGAGTACACCGCTCACTCCTTCGAGGACATGACCGACAAGGAAAATCTATCTTTCCGATATGTATTCTAGATGATATGTGCAAGGCCTTGTGGGGAGTTTTTTATAACGGTCGAGAAGAATGCCTGCCAAAGTCAATATACCCGGTATCTTGCGGATCTTTGCTGTATGTTTTGATCCTGCAAAAGCCCAATGAAGATAAATTTGCTTGCCAACTCTACATCATTGCATAATACACCTTTTATTCCAGGATATGTTCCACTTTGCCACAGCTTGACACACGTAACGTGATCCGAAGGAACCCAAAAACCGAATCTTCAGCTCCCCATCTGATTACTTGGGTATTTCTGTTAGCTAACACATAGCTGTCCAGAGCATATAGGTGATTAGTTTCCACATTCCGCATTGGTACGCTTGGCACTAATTTGATCACCATACGCAGTATTAAATTGAGGATAGCAATTGCAGGTTAGCCTTATCAGGTGATGAGCAGGAACGTGTTACTGCATTAACCATCTGTCCAAAAAGGATCTTTTGACACTAGTACCCCCACCATGAACCACTCGCTCCCTCCTGAAACTTCAGCCCCTATTTGATTTAGGTAGTTTGAATGATTGAAGTGATTTTTTCAATTAGATTTTCTCATATATGAATCTTTGCAAGTTTCCAGATCTGGCAGGCCGGGGGTTTCGTGGTTTTTCCATTGTTCATATTGTGCGGCTTGTCATGTTCAAAGGGTTACGACTTAAAGAACGAAGTCGGTCGAAATAAGCTTCGTTGGCGTGGGCGTATGCCAAGGATCAGCCATGCTTCTACAGCTTTGATGGAAATTATTCTTGATTACCTATGTATGCGAGAGCTTCTTGAGTTTACATCCGAAACCCTACTCGGTTCCAAAAAACAGAAGTATCAACGGAAACCATTTACTTTCTGCGTAACTTGGCAAGTTCCCCGGTGTTCAAGAGTGTATAACATAAACTTACACACGTAACAAGAATGGCAGCCTTGAATTATGATCATAATCAAACCTATTTCAATTGTAGACTAGTCACTGACCAAATTGCTTTGAGATGACGAACGCCCGAATGAAACAGGAAACTGGAAGAACAGGAACAGCACAATCGGCGTAGCTAATAACATCAAATGTTGCTCATAACACCAGGCTGAATGGCCTCCAACCTTTTCACAAGCTCACTCCAGATCCGATCTTGTGCCACTTCTCCCTCTTTACTTCTCACAAATGGCGACGGCTTCGCCACGGCGCAGTCCGAAACATAATGTCCGTGAGACTCAAGGCCTGCTGATCCAGCATACACCAAGTTCCTGCTGCCATACTCCGTTGTCCGGGCCAGGAAGCGCTTCATTAGCCACATTTTCCACGAGTCTATATCGCGGGCTAGTTCCGAGTGACAGAAGCCCGGGTTAACGTTGTTAACGGTAACGGGGTATTCTGGAGCGGGGTGCATCTCGGCGAATTTCCTCACACCAAGCACCTCGAAGAGCTTTGAAAGCAGGTAAAGGTTGCTCACATCCTCCGACGGCCTCGAGGCTTTCTCGTTGATGGTGTTGAAGATCTGGCCGTCGGGTGCATTGCGCTCCTCAAACGGTGTCCAGGCGTGCACCTCCGAGGATGTGATGGTGAAAGTGGGTCGAGTGTTGAATCTGGCTGCCGTGTCCTTCATCTTGGGCAAGACGAGGGCCATAAGAAGAAATGTGGAAATGACGTTGACGGTGATTGTCTCTTCATCCTCTTCCGCCTGCTTGAACTTGGGGTGAGCCACGCCCGCATTGGCAATGAAGATATCAACACGCTCCAGCCCAGTGCTCAACCGGGAAGCGAACTTTTGCACGCTGGCATACTTGGACATGTCGAGTTCCCACACTTCGATGACGTTTTTGGCGCAGTTTGTGGTAGCTTCGATGTCCTCCTTGGCGGCACGCCCCTTGTCGAGGCTTCTGACGGCGAGGATCAGCTTGCTGGCACCCAGCCGGGCGAAGTGCCTCGCAGCCTCCTTGCCGAGGCCAATATTACTGCCGGTGACGACAACAGTTTTGCCGGCATACGAGGCCGAAGGATACGGCAGGGTTTTGATAAGCTGGCTGTAGATGAAACTCATGGTTGTTATGGGGCTGGATCAACGCAATTGCGTATATAGTGCTTGTTTGCTTCAATGGAAGATACTTGGAGATGAACGTTGAAACTTTGTGACCAATTCGCGCTGGGATGGCTGAGATAAATCATAGCACATGTTGAAATATGTATATAAATACATCAACATATAGACTTAACTCATAGCGACATCATGAAAAATGTATGACGAGTCGTTTGCAGCTACCATGGTGGTTTCCTGACCACTTCATTGGTCGGATGAGAACGTCGCTGCGGGTTTGGCGACCACCGCCCTGAGCCCGGCCCCTGACACAATGACGGGGCCCCACCCGGAGTTTACGGATTTGAGTGTGAAGACGTACCCCTGGACCCAAATCTTGGATGTTTATTTCTAAGGCCTTGGAGACTTGGCATGAAGGGACGGACAGATAAATTAGTCCGTTAATTGACCGCACTCGCGATACAGTTCCTGTGCGGTTCAATGCAGCCGCAATGTCCGGCGATGCACCGCTTGAGAGCTGGCTAATAACTCTTATTACATGCAGTGGCCTTCCAAGCTCTTACAACGATATACTATGTACACGCACGGGGTTAACACCCGCCTACACGGGGTTAACGCCCGCCTACACGGGCTTAACAGCCGAAGACTCTGAAGGGGAGAACGACTTTGGCGACTTGTGATTGGATCCAAAACAGCGGCTTTTACAATTATCTCCCCATGTCCAAATGCATCTCAATCAAATGACAAGGTTGTTCGAGAGCGATAGTGGAGCCACCAGACTGTCTGTCCAACCCACACGGTTGTGAAAACGGGTACAGGTAGAATACCGGTGCAATTTGGTCAGCGGCCAGTAAGTTGAGCCTATTTTAGAAGGCACTGCCACCACCGCTACTGCTACTGCCATTGTCACTACTGCCTACGTCTATAACCTATACAAAAAACACCATTTTTACTATAAATCTGCTATTACTAATAGACACTTATAATATATAAAATTAAGCCCTTATATTTAACCTTTAAAAAGTAATAGTAATATATATAAACTTACTATTATAATAAAAGTATTAATCTTTAATTAAAAAGATTATATAATATAATAAATTTTTAAATTATAGCTATTACCTCTATTTTGCTTTAACTTTAAATTACTTAAATCTAAAAAGTTTTTAACTTTATATAACTTTCTAAATCTTAGCCTTTTTATTAGTCAGTAGGGTTAGAATATTGTTTTTGCAGGTGCTGACATAATGTATGTTGAAATAGGCTTAACTCACTGGCCGCTGACCAAATTGCACCGGTATTCTACCTGTGCCCGTGAAAACGAGCGTTTGTGGAGACGAAAAGTAACCGCCTTATATCCCTTCGGGCGCGATCGGACCTCATTAACCCCGATGAGGGGTAGGAGCAAATCAGACCACAGCAATTAACGCCAAAAAAGGTACTTCTATTCATATAGCGTTTTACCTATGCCAAAGGTACTAGTAATCTCTATCTTTATATAACAGTACACTGTAGTCTAAGTAGCCTTGCAAGGTCTCCTAGAAGCTTATTAGGCTTATCTAGGCAAGTAATAGCAAGGTCCTCTAGTAAGACCTCTACGTATATAGTGCTATTAATAGAGGTATCTGAATTAGAAGATATTGTGATTTTAATGATAATGTTGGTAATAATGTTGAAATTAGTGGTAGTTGCTAATAAGATAACATTCTAAAATAATGTATTGTTATGTATCTCTGAAAGCTTAGGGTAAAAGTGGAGGGGGATCCACCTCGGGGTTAATGAGGTCCGATCGCGCCCGAAGGGATACATATAAGGATGCAGTTCCAACTGTGTTATCGTGAAGTTAATTCCCTATTCTCATCAAACATATCATACGCCACACCGCTACCACAGAATTCTTGGGAAGAATAATAAAATCCACCTTATTCACCTCTTTGCTCCAGATTCACAATGTCTGCGCCGCCTGTACCCGCGTCTGTTCAAAAGAGCCTCGATGCAACCAAGGTCGAGTATGTTAGCCTTGGAACCTCCGGCCTCAAAGTCTCTGTTCCTATCCTGGGTGGCATGTCTTTTGGATCCAGTGAATGGCAAAATTGGGTACTCGATGAGGAGGAATCTTGCGAGATCCTCAAGGCTGCCTACGACCGCGGCATCAACACCTGGGACACCGCCAACATGTATTCCAACGGCGTGAGCGAGAAGGTCATTGGCAAGGCAATCAAAAAGTACAACATTCCCCGCGAAAAGCTTGTCCTCATGACGAAGTGTGCTATGCCCGTGGGAGAGGATGTCAGCTTGTTCACTCCCATGTACGCGCAGCAAATGGGACAAAGCAAGGACTATGTCAACCAAGGCGGGCTCTCCCGCAAGACCATTTTCAAGGCTGTTGATGACGCCCTCGATCGCCTCGGAACGACCTACATTGATCTGTTCCAGATCCACCGCTTCGACCCAGCCACGCCCATTGAAGAGACCATGAAAGCCCTCCACGACCTCGTTCAGGCCGGCAAGATCCTCTATATCGGCGCTAGCTCCATGTGGGCGACTCAATTCGCCCAAATGCAATTCACTGCCGAGAAGAACAGCTGGACAAAGTTCGTCAGTATGCAGAACTTCTACAACCTTCTCTACCGTGAAGAAGAGCGTGAGATGATCCGCTTCTGCAAGGAGACGGGCGTCGGCATCATCCCTTGGTCTCCGCTCTTCGGCGGAGCCCTGGGAAGGTCACTGAAGTCAGAGAAGGCAAGCATTCGCTCGCAAGCCAAGGGTCTGACGTGGCCTGATCTTACGGAGGCGGATAAGAACATCATTCGCAGGGTCGAAGAGGTAGCCGAGAAGAAAGGATGGAGTATGAGCCATGTTGCGCTTACCTGGATCAGGTGCAAGGGCGGCATTCCAATCACGGGTTTTAACACCATTGAGAGGATTGATGAGGCTGGGCAGCTGCGCGGAAAGACGTTAACAGAAGATGAGGTGAAGTACCTGGAGGAACCTTACATCCCTAAGAACGTCGTAGGGCACAACTAGAGCTATGTTTGCGCAACACTCAAGATTGTCACAACACCAACCGTCGCAATTGTCTGTCTGTAGGAACAGGTAGAAGTGGGCTTGTAGCTAGGTTAGCACAATGTCATCCGAGCGCTGTACATAAACACAAATACCATTTCAAAGATAAAAAAGAATTTGCGTCATAAACCATACATTTGGTGTCGTCTTTTTATGTTTTTCAAGGACCCGCTAGGGAGTAAAGTGATTAGAAGAAAATTAAACTGAAGACTTATAGCAGATGTGTAGCGGAAGTTTGAATGTCGTTGCAGTTTTCAGAGCCGTCACATGGTTTGACAAAGGAATGATCGGACGACATGATGACAGGGCTTGGCAGAAAAGAAAGAAAATGAAGGATGAACCTTTCTCATCGAGGAAACAAATGCTGAATATTCTCACCCAGGAGGTCAACTGGCAGGCAGTTGATATCCTCTGGATTAGGTATACTGATACGAATATTACTGTGATCGTTTCCGCCATGCACCCTGCGGTAGGAGGCTGGTGATCAAGCTGCTGGGCGCGCTGGAGATGTTAAGGACGACGCATGGGGCTCTGCCGAGGACTGAATTGCTGCCGACAACTTTATCGTTAACGACGAACCCAATATTATATCACGTGTCGCGCCAACATAAGGGTCTTTACCACGCATGCCCCAGAACCCTTAATATGCGGCTTACTGGACACGGCTGCCAGCATGACTGCGGCGCGGGAGCAGCTTGGTGATAATTTGCCAGGAGATATATAAGCGTTAGGTACTGTCCCGTAACTAACGGTGTCGTTTTTGGTTACATGACATAATTATGGCATATATCGTAGGCAGCTTTCTGATCTTCTATACCTTACTCGACCAGTCTCCCGCACCGGGCAATCGCTCTCGTCGTTTAGGTGAGTAGAAGTGATCAGTTCTAGCTGTAGGGAGACAAGGAAGGGAGGTTCATCAAGGGAGATAGCTAGTTATAGAATCCGTCCAAAGCAACCTTGCTCAGGCGGATGTGGCCTAATATGTGTGTCTTGATGTCGTGGCCGTCTTAGACAAAAAGGGTGTATAAGTCTTAGGATGATGGTTCGAATCTCCCGGTTGCTCAACCCGAGCGAGTGAGGAGTAGCCAGTTGCTTTGGAATGAGACTGGATCAGAATCTAGAAAGGTTGATTCCCGGCAGCAGTGGAAGAAGCACTGTAGGGTCTACGGTACCTTGGTGGCAATGGCGCAGTGTATGACGGAAAGACAGACAACCGCTGGAATCTTACCAAGGGAAACACTATGTATACAATGGCAGCTGAAGACAGTTACCAGGGCAAAGAACATCGTTCTCTCTTCGGCATCCGCAGCCAAGAGATCCCAAAGCTGAGCCGACCTAGCCTGGGCTGGGCGCACTCTCCCAGATCCGGGACCGCGATCGATCTGCCAGCATCGCCGGCTGACGTGGTACCACGTCCGGGTATGGTCCCCGGATGGGGTTTGCACGATTAATGCAAACCACCTCGACCCCGCATTCCCCCAACTTGGGCGGGCATCGGGTTGGGGGCACTCTTCTGACTTTTCCGCTGAGGACCCTGCAACCAATCTTATTCACGGAAATGAGCCGAGTTCGAAGTCTTGCACCATGTAAATATGTACTTTTGAACGTTTGTTTGAATTACGAATTTCCGTAAACGGCTAGGTAGATAGGTATCGAACTCGTCACCAATTGTGACTGTGTGCATTCCCCCGCGCCATGCAACATTCCACATTTCGCATTACATTTAAAGTCATGTCCAGAAACGGACTCAACTTCGGCTGTGCCCCCAGGCTATTTATCCGATCTGACGGGTAATATACTATAGATAATTATGGAAATTGAACAGCGTGACGTCGGCTTAAACATTGGAAGCGCGGCGCTCGACATTGTCAACGGTGACCTTATCCAAGACGCCGTTGCGGGCGACCTGAGAGGCGAAGGTCTCATGAGGCACCCATTTGGCCGAGGTACGGGGAACAGTCTCCTCCATCATCTTGTCAACCTGCTCCAGAGACAGACCCTTCGTCTCGGGGACCAAGAAGTAGGTGTAGACGAAGGCGCATGTGCAGAGACCGCCCCAGACGAAGAAGACGGACGACCTGAGGTTGCCGCGGTCCTCACCGACCATGTAAGGGGTGATGACGGCGATGATGGTGTTCCAGAGCCAGTTGGAGGCGGTGGAGAGAGCCACGCCGCGGGAGCGCATGGGCAGAGGGAAGATCTCACCAATGAGAACCCACGCAGCAGGACCCCATGTGGAAGCAAAGCAGAAGATGAAGATGGCGATGAAAGCGATCTGAGCGTTGACAGCAGAAATATTGTCGGCAATGCTCTTGGAGCTGTCGGCAGGGTCGGGATGGGTGTGGTTGAAGCCGACAGTGACACCGATAATGGCAACGAGGAACTGGCAGATCAGCATACCGAGAGCACCGAAGATCAGGATAGTGCGGCGACCGAATCTCTCAACCGTCCAGAAGGACAAGGGAGTGGAGCAGACGTTGACGAGGGTGAAGATGAGAGAAATCAAGAAGGTGTTATCGATGGCGCCAGTGGACTGGAGGAAGGGGGTCGAATAGTAGAAGATGAAGTTGACACCGGTCCACTGCTGCATCATCTGGAGAGAAGTACCGAGGATGGTCTTGCGCAAGTTGGAGTTGGCCTTGAAGACGGAGCCCTTGAAGCAGTTGGCCCAGCTGCCGAACCAGGTAGTGCTAGGGACGAGCTGACGCTCGTACTCCTCGTTGGCAACGATCTCAGCAAGCTCGACCTGGATGTACTCGGAGTTCTCGGGCTGGCCACGGAGGCGGGCGAGGGAGCGTGCGGCATCGGCAACTCTACCCTTCTTGACGAAGTATCTAGGGGAGTCGGGGAACAGCATGAGACCGCCGCCCAGAATGAGAGCCCAGGGGAACTGGATGGCGATGGGAATGCGGTAGTTGCCGGTGTCGGAGCGGTCCTTGGTAGCGTAGACGACGCAGGCAGCCAGGAGCAGACCAATGGTAATGCAGAACTGGTAGCCGGAGACGAGAGCGCCGCGAACCTTCTTGGGAGACTGTAGTATGCGTGTTAGTGACGATTTCTTCCAATGGCGAGCTGCAAGTGGTGAGATGAATACTCACAATCTCGGACATGTACAAAATGACGACGGCAGACTCGAAACCCACACCGATACCGGCGATGAGACGACCGGCGACAATGGGGCCCAGTGCAGCGTGGACGTTGGTGATCATCTGGACTACGACACCGATCATGTAGATCAGGCAGCCAAGAATGACAGTCCACTTGCGGCCCATCATGTCGGCCAGGTCACCAGCAATCAGGGCGCCAAAGAAGGTACCGCATGACAAAATAGAGACGATAAGAGACTGGTGGGATTCGCTAATCTTGGTGTGGCCTTCGCCCTCGACGGCATCGATGAAGATTTGGGAGCCCAAGACACCGTTGATGTAGCCGGAGTCATAACCGAAGAAGATACCTCCGAAGGAAGCAAAAGCGCAGATCAGGTAAGCCTTCCAGGTAACAGGGGCCTCAATGGCGTTAACATCGTCGGTCACGGCGAGACCCTGGACGACGGGGTCGCGGGTAACACCGGTCTCTTTCTCCATTGTGGAGGGCTGTTGTGATTTCCCCGATAGTGTTGACGAGTATTCGAGGTGAGAAAGAAGTAGGAGCGGACAAGTAGGGAGGCTTGTCGTGGGAAGGCGGCGAGGAAGCTCGTGAAGAAGGGAGGAGCTACAAGCAGAGGGCGAGGGCGAGAGGCGGACCTTTTATCAGTCTTCGTGTCACTTGGAGCAGGCGCGAGAGTAAAGCAAGGTTGAACTGGTCCAGTTAATTTGCGCCTGTGCCAGTTCGTTCGTCCGTCCAGCGTGTGACCGTGGTACCGTCCACAGGTATTGTAGGTAGGCACGAATGGTGGATGCGGATACAGGAGGAGCGAGGGGGGGGTGTTGTCGCGAGGGGTGTGGACAAAAGTCTGGAATGGAAAAAGGACGTCAGGCGGTAGGTATACCGTATCCATAGCAGCATCGAACGCTTTCCGCCGTACTCAGCCTGTCTGCGGAGTCGCTGTACAGGGTAGACTGAGGGGTGAGTTGTGTGGTGAGTGGCGCTTCATCTCCCATTCCGAGGGTCACATCCCCGAAAGAAAAGCTCCCATTGGGTTAGCCCCGTTGGTTAGCCGTCCCCATATTGAAGCTCCTGCTGGCTCATGCTGAAAAGGGCCGATAGCTCTTGGGGCAGACGTGGAGGCCGAGGGGGAGCAGGGGAGGGGGGTTGCTGTTTGGAAGGTAGGGAGGGGGCCTCCCGACGAGTTGGGAAGGGGCGGGCAGGCTACGGGGAAGGAGGAACGAGGTAGGCGCGCGGTGGGAGGTGGGAGGGGAGGGAACTTGGCTCGGGGAGGAGGGATTGGCTGCGCTAAGGCAGGAGAGGGTAGGTACCTCCTCATGCCGTGCTTCCTTCCACCTAAACTCGAATGTCTCGCAAGGGTACTTTCCTGCTCTTCGCTCATTCAGGAGCAGCAGCAGGCAGGCAATTGCACGAAGACATTGCGGTTGTTATGGTTTCCTTGCAACCTTGAGGGACCACAAAGGTCGGAATGGGTGCTTGTTTTCCTCTGTCTATCTGGCAATAACGAATACGACCACAAACGATTGGGCAAAATAGTTTAGTCACTTCTAATTCTGGTTGGGAGGTCCGCCAGAATTCAATTGTTTAGGTACCTAATCAGGTTGGGCGGGGGTAGAAGGACGGACGGGCAAGACCTGGGGATGTGTGATGTATCTTGTCCATAACGACAGCGCCACAGACACATGTACCTCCGAAAATGCAAACCATAACGTGGCAGAACCAGGGAGATGCATGGTTGTCACGTCCAGCCAGCATCGACCCAGCCGATGGCTCCATATACCAACAGAACTGATCGCCTGTCTGTTCCAGACAGATCTGGAATGAACACGGTTTGGCCTAGGTCGCGGGGCAACCACAGACAGAGAGGAAGACAAGAGACGAAGAGAGAGTGCATAAAAACAGAGAGAGACAGCAGTTGAGTTTAGCAGCCGATTGACTCGTCAGTGGCGTGCGATGGGCGGCGTAAGCCACTACGAGCACCAAAACATTTGGAAAAAACGACACACAAACCTCACCAGCAAATCAGACGGACGTGGTTTTAGGGGCCAGCCCCTCCCCTTTGGGGCTGACTAACAAGCCGGGGACTCCAGTCCAGTGCCTTTCCCCCCCGGGGAACCCCCCCCCCCCCCCCTTTCCCTTCCCTTAGCCTGACCCATTCTCGGAGAGAGCAGCCACCTCGCGCAGGTCACGAGTTCGCCGACATAAGCAGACGAGGGAAAGCTGGGGAAGATTGGCCGTTGTCTCGCCGTCGCGTGGCGTTTTGCGGGGCGGGCCCCTGGTCTCTTCGTTGGGTTGGTGAATCGGCACTAGGCTCGATCAAGACCCTTGACCGCTCTCGGCGGGCTCTGCTGAGGCACGAGACACGACACGGTTTTTTTGCCTCCTTTCTTTCGCGGAGGGGTGTCGTGTCGTATGTACGAAGTGCTTGCGTTGCCCGATTTCTTTTCTTCACCAAAAGCCCCACCCCGTGTCGAACCAAGAGACTGCTGATCTGGGTCCGGTCGTGACCATCGGCTCGGAAGTCAGGCTGGACAGAGACGGACAGAAACCGACTGTCAGCCAGGATTATCCGACGAGGTGAAAAGGGATGGGTCATTTGTCGGGCGTCAGCTCCATCCATCCGGGTCGACAGCGGGCACTGAACGCTGCATAGTGCCGGTGTTCTCTTGTTTTGTTCGTGTTTGTTTGTCCGCCTCTCAGAGACTGGTAGACTTGCATCATCACCATTGACAAAGCCGCTTGCAATAATAGCCAAGCCCATTCTAAAGTCTGAATGTTCCTTCGTATTGCGCCGGTCATGCTCGGGGTCATTTGATGATCCTGATAAACCGTCACTGTGTGAGATGACATCGCACGGCGTCGACGACAAGCGCAGGAAATAGACGAAGCGCGCGGGGCCGCCGCTATCGTGATACCGACAGGCGTACTAGGGCCCTGATCGGCAACGGCGGCGAAGTTGGATAACAGCCTGTACCTCGAATAAGAGCTACTTATTAATTAGCTAATCGCTGCTAAGTAAAACCTTGGCCCACAAGATGTACTATTGCTATCCTTGTGCTTAATTACTTACCTTACTGCCTTCCTTTTACTGCGCAAGGCCTATAGGATAAGCTTTATTACTTCTCCTTATAATACTATTAATAGTAGTGTACTTTATAGTTATAAGTAAAGTTATTATTATTATTATTATTATTAAATACTATAATAAATAACTAGTAGTAAAAAGAAGGCTTATTAATTAATAATAATAGTATAGTTATTACTATACTTATTATTAAAGACTTAACTAAAAGTATAGTACTACTACTATAGCTAAAGAGGTAAAAAAGAGTTAAGTAGCTATAGCTAGGTGTTATAGGCCAGAGCCACAGTGAGTGCAGCAGGGCTTTGCCTACCACAACGCACAAGCTAGCAAGGCAGGCGCACTTAGTTAGCGCTTAGTTAGTACCCCTATTTAACCTTACGTATATAACGTACATACTACTGTAATTAGCCTTCCCTCCTTAGTCTAGATTAATTATATTAAGTTACTATACACCTATTAAAAGGTAGTACTAACCCTTTATATATCTAGACTCTCTAACTAACTAATAAGTAAGCTTAGTAATATGCCTACTTTAGCGCAGGAGGAGGCAGCTTTTGTGCGCAAGGCCTTGCTTAAAATACATAATACTATCCTAAGCCTTTAAGCTAATATAATAGCTATTAAACAAAGTGCTATAACGCTAACAAAAAAAAGTACAGTAACTACACAAGAGAGCACTAAACCTATATCTATAGGCGCTAGGCCTATGTAAACACCTATTAAATTTATATAAGCACCTACTATACCTACGCAGAAAGCTAGCTCTTAATTATAGGCCTAGAAGCTATTACCTTTGCCTAAGAAGTTCTTAGGCCTACGCTATAACTTTCCCTTATAGTTATACTAAATATATAATAAAATAAAGCTTAATTATACCTTTTTTATAAATAATTATAAAGTATAGTACTTTATTAATATATGCCTAGAGATTAGACTATAATATATTATCTTTATATTCTACTAGTAAAGTAGTAAATAATATAACTATAACCTTAAATAATTCCTATAGTACTTAGAGTATACCTATAGTAACCTTAATATAAAGTAGTATATAGCTAGTGCACTAGTCTTTATTTATATAAAGGATAATAAAACCTTTTTATCCTTTTACCTTAAGTTTAAAAGGACACTAGTAAAGGCTAGTAGGTAGTCCTAGGACTATAATATATATATTATACTCCTTATAAATATACTTTTACTATATGTTTATACTATATTAGTAAGTGTCTTCCTTTTAATAACTATAATAAGTAAGTTAGGTAGATTACTAAAGTATCCTAGAAGGTTAAAGACCTTTTATGCCTTTTTAAAAGTAGTGCTTTCCTCTACGCAAGGACACTAATAGTAATACTATAATAATAAGGTCTATTTAGAAACTAAGTAATAAAAACTATTCTTATAAGAACAATAGTAAAACACTAATAAAGTACAGTAGTATATATAAAGATACTTAAGTATACTTCTATTACTAAAAGAAGAGATATATTACTAAATAATATACTACTATATAACTAGTAGTATATATAGCTAAAATAGTAGCCCTTATATATATTAAAGAGCTTTTATTAGACAATAATAAAGAAAAAGACATTAATAGTAAAGACTTAAAAAAAAGTAACTCTAAGGTAAAATTAGGCCTTAAAGCTAATAAGTAAAGAATATAAAGGTTAAAAAAAGTTTTTATATAACAAGAAAATAATTAAACTATTAGTACTACTAGATGCCTATATTAATAAAGGTTCCTATATTTAAGCCTTTACTAATACTAGCTATAATACTTATATAATAGTAAGTAGCTACTTTATATACTAAGAGTACTTTCTATATATCTTATAGTATAAGACCCCCTTAAGGGGATTTATAGATAACACTTAGCCTATAATAACTAAAGGTGTAGTAGTATTTAAGTTAAAGTTAAGTAGTTATTACTAGTGTATCTATATATATATTATACCTAATCTAGGCTAAGATGTCTTCTTAGGGAAGCCCTAGATAAAGGATAATAAAGTTATATTTAATATAGCTAAATATACTATCTACTATAGCTATACTAACCTTATATTATAACTAGTAGGCTAAAAAAGTTAGCTAAAGTTTAAGAAATCTAAGTAGTGTATATAGTAAGTATACCCCTCTTTACTATACTTTATTAATAAGCTACCTATAAAGAGTATATATAATAAAAGTACTACTCTCTTTTAATAAGGATAGCTAGGCCTTCCTATAAGTAATAGCTATTAGCCTAGCTAATATATAAAAGGCACTAATACTAAAGGTAAATAAAGTAACCTAATAAGCTATAGTAATTATAGCCTTACTATAATAGGTTTATAATAAATATAGTAACCTATTTAACCTAAGCACCTTAATAATAGTTCCTTAGTACTAACTAGGCTAAGACTATTATATTAACCTTAAACCTAACGCTATATTACCTTAAGGACTACTTTATAGTATATTATATAAGAAGCTACTTATATTTAAGAGAACACTAAAAGACCTCCTTAATAAAGGATTTATATATACTAGTAGCTTTACTATAGGTATACTAGTGCTATTTATATATAAACTAGGCAGTAGCCTACGCTTTTACTATAACTACTATAACTAAACACTATTATAAAGAAGACTACTACTTACTTCCCTTAATTACTAAGACCCTTTAATAAGTAAGAGTAGTAAAGTAGTATACTAAGGTAAATATTATAGTAGTATTCTATAAGATAAGGATAACTAAAGGAGATAAGTATAAGACTATATTCTATATATATTATAGGCTTTTAAATAGCTTATTTACCTTTTAGGTTAACTAACGCTTTATAAGCTAGTAATACTTTATTAATAATACTCTATATAAGTTCTTTAATAACTATATTACTATATACTTTAATAATATCTTTATTTACTTAAGTAGTACTAAAGAGGACTATAAAGAAAAGTATATAAAGTCCTTATAAAGTTATATACACAAGGGCTTAGCCTAGATATAGCTAAAAGTAAATTTAGTGTTAAAAAGGTAAAGTACATTAGGTTTATACTTAAGGTAGGTTAAAGTATATCTATAGACAAAGATAAAATATACACTATAAGTAAATAGTTAGTACTTAAATTAGTTAAAGAGTCTAAAGTTTCTAGGGTTTACTAACTACTACTAGATATTTATTAATAACTACTTTATAATAGTAGCTCCCTTTATAAAGCTAATAAAAAAGGATATAACTTTTACTAAAGTAAAGATTATAAGAAGGTGTTCTATAATATTAAAGAGTACTTTAATATACCCCTCTATTATATAACTTTAATCTATAGGCACTAATATTTATAAAGACTAACTACTTAGGTTATACTACTAGTAGTACACTAATATAAAAGACAGTATAGCTAGCACTAACCTATTGCCTTTTACTTATATAAACTTACTTCTACTAAGTATAACTACCTAATCTATAATAAAGAGATACTTACTATTATTAACTGCCTATGTATATAAAGAGTAAAGCTTAAAAGCACTAAAAGTGTATTTATAGTAGTTATAGACTATAAGTCCTAAATACTTTATAAAGAAGTAAAAACTAATAGAATATTAAGCTAGTAAGCAAAGTCCTATTAAAGTATAACTTTAAAATAATATACTAGCTAAGAAAAAGGTAGTAGTCCTAGATATACTTTTATAGTTAAACAAGACACCCTAAAGGGTTAAGATAATAAACAGAAGTAAAGTAAATTATTTAAATAATCTTAACGCTATAATACCTATAGTATATAGCGTAGGCGTACTACTTATACTATATATAACTACCTTTAATAATATTAACCTATAGTAACTATAGACTTAACATAGACAGTAATACCTTGTTTTAAGAGTTTACTAGGCTATCTTTAATAGTGCCTATAAGCTTCCTTTACCCTATAGCTATATATTTAGGTTATAGACTATACGCTTAATAATAAGTCTTAACTTACCTAGAGGGAAAGCTATAGGTGCTAGGTAGCTAGGACTCTAAATCCCTTAATAATAGCCTATACACCTAGTTAATCTAATAAAGCTATAACTTAACTATTACTAGCTACCCTAGGTATAATAGTACACTAGAGATACTATTATATTAGTTCTATTAGCTAGGTAAGTAAGTAGTATACTACTTTATCTATAACTATAATATATACAGTAGTAGAAGGTATAGTAAAAAGTAAAGAAGGCCTTTTATAACTACTTAGTGTACTAAGTGCCTCTAAAGTAACTTATTAATAGACTTTATTACTAACCTCCTATGTTAAGGCTAGACTAGGCTAAATATATATAGGTTATTATTAACTAACTAAGTAAATTAGTAATCCTTAAAGCTATAGTAACTATAGAGGTAGAAAGTTATATAAAGTGCTTCTTAAATTACTACTTTTGCTTTTATAGTATACCTAAGAGTATAGTAAGTAACTAGGAAGTAACTAAATAAGCTACTTTTAGTGCTACTTTTATACACTTACTAAATAATATAATAACTTAGTACCTTCTACTACTATAAAGTAATAGTACTACTAAGAGGTTTAATTAAGAAGTCTAAGTAATACTATATACCTATATAAGTTACCTCTAAGGAATTAGGTATAGTGCTTACTAGTAATATAACTATTAATTAATAATTATATTACTATAGCTACTAGTATAAGCCTCTTTTTTCTAGAGCATAAGTATTATATTAACCTTATTATAATTAAAGAAGATATACCTAAGGTAATAGATTTATATAAAGAAGCTATATAATAATTAGTATAATAGATAGTTAATATAACTACTATAGCCTAGGCTACTACTATAGTAGCTTAAGAAGTTATATAGAAATTAGTAAATAAA